TATAGTTCCAAATTATAGTTGATCTTGGCTTCTTAAGTGGATTCTGACAACACTTTGCATATAGACACCAAGTGTAGATGATCTTGGGTTCTCTCATATGGATTATGACAGTACTTTGATTATACATGTAGTTCTAAGTATTGTTGATCTTGGCTTCTAATGTTGTTCTTAAGTTTCTGCACTTTACATATAGTTCCCAATTGCAAGACAAGATGATACTGGCTTCTTGTGTAAATTCTGTCAGTTCTTTGCCAATAGTTTCCAAGTAAAGTTGAACATTCCAGGATCTTTCACAACAAATCACTCCTTCCTCTTACATGTACTTGTAGCCTGAAATTAAATGTCAGAGTAATTCTGTCAGAAAATCAACCATGATTGACATTTAAAAGCATAATGTAGTTCATATTTTAAATAAATGGGGAATGTGTCCATGGGACACAGATGATGCCCCCACTTGCATATAAAGTTATAAATTTAAAGGAGCATAACTAAAGAATGGTAAGAGTGACACTACCCAAAGTTTTACTTGATCTGAATTTTGTTGTAATAAGTAATGTGTATAAGTTTCATAACATTTGGATGAGGCAAACTAAAGTTAGAGAACAGAAACAAAAAATTCAGCAATTTTTCCATTTGTAAAGGGGCATAACTCTAGAACAGTAAAAGTGACACCACCAAAAAAAATTCAAACTTAAGTTTCATAACATTTGGTTGAGGCAAACTGAAGTTAGAGAATGGACACCAATTTTGGGACATACGTACAGACAGACAAGGGTAAAACTTAATGCCCACTCCACTACGGCGTAAAAAAATGAAGAATTTGTGGCAACAATAATGAGCAAACAAAATAAAATTACATGCACAGCAAGTGTAAATAGTGATTTTGTTTTTATATATATGTTGAATACAGACTTTTCAGGGCATGCTGTTTCGATGCCAGGGACAAGTTATTTCTATGCCTAAAAATTCTAAAATGCAGCTGAGCTACATTTGTACTCCTCGTCAACCAAATTATGCTGAGGTGTCTTGTAACCTGTTTGGAATATGGGATAAACAAATTTTGTGTTTAAAAATACTGAGCACAAAACAATAATGAATTTTTCAACTCAAATGTATGTGTTATTTGGTAAACAAGATAAGCCCTATGTGTATGTTTAAACCTGATACTTGACGTTATGAAATTTTTTATACAAAAGAGAGACAAGGGGGGGGGGGGGGTGTTTAATTGTAAACAAATTGTGATCAAGACGAATCCATCAATAAAATGTATTGCCTCGTACTGTAGTGGTTATAATTTACAAATCAGGCCATTTATATATTCTCAAGAAAACAAACGAAACAATCGAACCCCTTGAGCGGGTAGTCCTATAATATATGCCTTCGCATTATATATTCACTATTTAACGTTTTCATGCTGATATTTTCATTTTTTTTTTTTGGAGGCACATTGACAATAAAAAAAAAAAAGAAAAATAGCAAAATCAGTAAAAAGAAAACAGAAATAGAAAGAATGCCCCCGAGTTCATATATTATAGGATTACTTGAGCGGGTGGACAGGGATAAGGGAACATGGGAATGAGGGATCAGGAAGCGAGAAAAGGGGGTATCATGTGCAGGTCCATTACCGTTAATTAGCCTGGTCGGAGTGAAAATAAAAGTAACCAATTTGGTAGAAGTAAATCTTATGAACATTATAAATAGAAAAAAAACCTTAGATCTCGTGTGAGTCACTTTATTTTTAAACAATAAAAATAAACTTAATATATCTTTATTTTATTGTTATAGAACTATACTAACAAAAGCATGATTTAGATAAAAGGAAGGGTACAAACAGACTCAGGGTGGGAATGTAAAAGGGATGAATGTGAATTGGAGCGAACATGATTTTGGGTGAAAGGACAAGAATTCGAAAAGAGGGGGGGATGAATAATCTGGGAAATATATTTTGCAATTTTTTGTCTGGGAGCAAGGGGGATGGAAGTGGAAGTTAGGGGAGAAAATTTTAGAGTAAAAGGGAAGAGAAATGGGAGTTGGGGATAGGGAGTGGTAATCATGAACCCCTGTCCGAGGGAAGTTATGGGGTACCCCATTTTACAGGTTGGGACCAAACCCTCTTATATGGTTTTCAGGGGTGGATCCAGCCATTTATAAAAGGGGGGGTTCCTAACCCAGGATAAATGTGGAGGTTCCAACTATATGTCCCCATTCAAATGCATTGATCGTCAAAAAAAAGGGGGGGTTCCAACCCCCAGAACCCCCCCCCCCCCTGGATCTGCCACTGGTGTTTAAACCTGTATAGAGGAATAATCCTTCTATAGAGGGGAATTTTTGTTTAGACTGGATTTAAAGCAAAATAGGGCAGAATGGCATTTTCTACTTATTATGGCAGTAACCTGCTACATTTGATGCACCAATTGATGTACTTAATTTCATTTCACATGCCCAGTTTACTGCTAAACTGACTGAATATACAATCTATTGTACACCATAATTCTATTGTTAGATTTAACATAAAATTTAAAGGTCACCTGCATGTCCCTTTTGTTGTTGATCAGGTGTTCAGATAGGTATACAATAGATTGCAAGTTCTGTCACTTTAGCAGAAAACTGGGCATCCCAGGCCATTTTTTGGTAAAGAAATACAGAATACAGTAAAGTGCAATAATTGATGCATATATAGTGCTATAGATTATAGCAAATATAACTAGAAAATGCCATTCTGCCCTATTTTGCTTTAAATCCAGTCTACACAAAAATACCCCTCTTTTATCCCTCTATAGGAGGATTATTCCTCTCAGTATACAGGTATAAACACCATGTAGAGGGTTTGTTCCCAACCTGTTTTACTAGTCATTATAGACGCTAACGATAAATATTTGCTAACGATAAATATTTAACTTCATTTGACCCTAAGGGAGCTACCATTTGATTTTTATGGGGGGGGGGGGCTAGGATGAAATTTGAAAAAATAGGCTACGAATTAGATTTTACGAATAACGATATAAAATCAAGACTTATTTGACGCTAACGATAGCGCAGATCATCATGATCATGAGATGCTGAAAATGACCATCCCCTCCTCTTTGACACGGATATTTTTTCAAAACAGACTATACATGTTCACAACTTGCCAGTTAACAGGTTAAGGGTCAAGTAAACACATAAATAAGATACCAGCCATAACGATTATACATAGAACAGAAATTTAGCCCATGCAAGGTTTCAGCCGCAGTGATTTTCTACAGTATCGAGTATTTTGAGATAACCCCCCACTTTGTATTTTTCGTGATACTGATAACATTTGGCTGTCTAATATATTAAAATCTATGTTTTCTTATGTAATGACTCTACCTTCATCGTTGTCTATTCGCCACTATGTCTGTTATTCATGCACATGGTCGTATTTATCAGTGCAGTATGCTGCTCAGCAATGGCGACCCTGAAATTTCTGTTGTCCGATTATGGCGCCAGATTAGAGGGAAGCAACTCGCGCCAGACAAAATTACCGTATTTCAACAAAATAATCAAAATTTCGCTTCTTTATAACAAACAGTAAAATGTTCATCACATTTATATTCAGCTTTCGTCCATTGATATAATTACAAACATTATTTATTTAAAGACATTAATAAAAAAATCACAATAAAGTAATTAATGGAGTGCATTGAAATCAGACCTCATGGGGTAGAGGGGTTAAACAAAAGCTCGTAACTTTTTTAAAAGCCTGGTGACCCCCATTTTATTTTACCTTAAAATGCTCGAAAAGTTCATAGCTTTGACATATCCGTTTTTAAAAAAAATCTACCGGGGAAATTTTACGAAAAATCGATTTAACCAATATTTTTAGCCTAAAACTGAAATTAAAAAATGCCAAATTTAGACATAAATCTGAAAATAAAAAGATTTTTAAGTCTAAAACAACCAAGGGGAACGTTTACATTTCAAATTTAATTGTTTTTTCACATAATAATCATACTGACTTGGTTCTAAAAGTCTTTGAATTTGATGTAGTCGTTATTGTTGAAAGGGTGTAAAAGTTTGGAAATAGGGTCAAAATCGCACATTTCGCTTCCATTTGAGGGGAAAACGAACCTGGTGACCCCCTTTTTTCTTTGCATTTTTGGATTCAGCATAAAAAAATCTACAAAATATGTGAAAATAAAAAAATTCTACCGGGGGTCCTTATTGGGGTGAGCCACCTTAAGCCCAAAAATGTAGACCTGTCTAAAGGGACTGTCACTTCTGCCGTAGAATCTTTAGCTATTATGTTTTATTCTTTACATCGTAATTTTGTTAACTGTCAAGCCCTTTTCAACTGATTTGTTTAGCTTGTCCCAATGTTCTCCTGAAACAATATTATCCCAATTGTAATCTAATGGTTGTCATTGGTTGCCCTATGATATAACTGCTTTATATTTTAAGTTACTAGCTTGAATCAGTTATCTCTTTTGAAATGTGTGAATTTGTGTCACATTTTGTAATCTCAATAAATCCAATAAATGAGGTCATTCATACTGTAGGCAAAAAATGCTCAAATATCAGCATCATGTTCAACAGATTTTCTTTCACAAGTATATAACAAAACGGGTCAGTGATAATGAGAGTCAGTCTGTTAGAATGGTGCTCATTAATATGATAGGTCACTTTAAAATTATATTTGACACAAGATTAATTTTCAGCCTTCTGAAAAAAGATGAGTTAATGTGGCAGTTTTAGCTAGCTATAAAACCAGGTTTAACCCACCATTTTCTTTGGAAAATGTCTGTACCAAGTCAGGAATATGAGAGTTGTTTTTTATCCGTTCCATTGTTTAATATAGTCAAGCGTTTGGTTCTGTCAGCTTTTGTGGACAAACCCCTTTTTTAAATTTACTTTGCAGTTCTGTATTATTGTTACTACTTTTTTGGCTTTGCATATTATATGTGATTATTCATATTTCCTTTTTAAAACTACAAACCTACTTTATTTGATGATGTAAATAAACTGGGTCTCTTACTTACATAATCCTGACCACCTCCTAGTGTGTGCTTCATTCCCTTGCTCCCTAAGAATTTATGCATTAAGGATGTTATTCCAAAAGAAAAACGAAACTGAATGTCTTCTTGGAACTCACAACATAAATTTCTACAGTCCAATTTATAAGCTATTTCAAAGTCCCTTTTAGGTAATGCATTATTTAACTGTGCTCTTTCTTCATCCTTTAATAGTGCTGCCAGGCGATCTACAATATAATCTCATCTACATTAGTGAAAAATTTACTTTCAAATGCAAAGACTAAATGATATTAAAAATGAATCCTTTTTCAATACAGTGGAATTTGAAATTAAATATTGCTTGTAAGAGAATCTTGAACAATTAATTACCGCGAGCGAACATAGAATTTTTTTTCTCAGATGGGAATAATACTAAAATATAAATATTTGCCAAGTTTTGCAAGGCAAAAAAGGCTGTTTAACAACTCAAAGGGAAACCAGATGAATGAAGAACATGATATATTTAAGTACAACTTTAGATTAAACAATATTCTTATGAACATGAAATACATCTTTAATACTAAATACAAATGTATCATACTGCAGTATATATTTCTTTACAGAGCCAAATTTAAAAGAAGATAAAGAAAAAAGGTAAAAAAACAATTATATATTTTTTATTTGTTAACAATTAAAAAGCAAATAAATATCTAAATAGAAATGATTACACAATACTACAGAAATAGCTTATGGAATAAAGCATGCTGCAGACATGTACAGCTATAGCTATTCAAAAGAAATCAGTATTAACAAATTATTTTTTGCATTTGAATAGCTGTTATTTCCAAAATAAATTTAAAATGACATAAATATAAATGTAATTGGCAATATATCATGTAAACAGATATATAAAAAAAAGCCAAAAAGAAAAGAATATGTTTTTTTCTTATCTTATCTTCAACAGGTTAGAGCTGTTCCAAAATTGACCATGGTTGGGGATGGGAGGCAAGAAATGAATAAATTGTGGGTGGTTGCACAATTTTATTACAGTTATGTATAAAATGAAAATTACATAAATGAGTGGTTGTGGTCTTAAAAAAGTGCCTCCCAAGCACCCCATTTGTATAATCTGGAACTGCCCATATGCATATATCTACTTTCATTTCTTTTTTAAACAGGGAAATATATAAATTATAAAAGAAGAAACTTATCTATTGATGTTTTAGACGTTTTTTATGTTAGTACTAAAGCAAAAGCATTTTGGTATATTTTTGTGTAATGTTTTCACCTTATAAACACATATATTTATAGTACAGTCAAAATAATATTTGAAAGAAAATTATTTTGATATTATTTTATTTTTTTCTGTCGCTATGAATACCTGTCATTTCTTTTTGAGTGGTTTCCACATGCTGTTGTAATACATATGAGCAACGCTGCTGTACATTACGTCCTAACCCTTCTTCTACATGATTATGCAACTCCTATGATTAGAACCAATGATATGATAAGATGCATGCCAGGATTCAATGCAAAATTAAATGCACTATGAATGTCCATATCAAAGACAAATAGTTTTCTATAATGGTTTTGTTTTGTACATTTTCTTAAGATTTTAAAGTTCTTTTTTTTTTTAAATTCACAACAAAATAAAAGCAAATGACATTCACCTTCTGCATGAAGCACTAAAAGGTTGTCACATAAATCACTTAAGTATGCAATAATATGTTTGAAGCAAATAAAAGTAATTACTTTAAGTCAATGCACAAATATTTAAAAATACATTGAACGGTGACCTTTTTTTCATCAAAGCATATTTTGCATAGCATTTTAAAAAAGGTAATTAAAACAATATAATTTTAAACAATTCAAAACTGATGCTCCCTGAAACTTGTGAAAGGCATTTAGACATAACACAACAACGGTATACCATAATACATCCCGTAAACGGGCGTATAAAAATGATTAAAGCCATCTGAAAACATCAATTCTAGCATTTATTTTAAAACAATTCAAGGAAAACAACTCTGTAATAATATTTCCAATGACCGTGAAAATCAAACCTGAACTGAATTTCATAGGAGAGGGTCATATTTGGAGCTTAATTATTGTATATAGTAATTGTAGTCAGAATGGACTTTAAATAAGTTGCCTAGTGTAAAAAGAGTGTGACACTCTGCACATAATAGGACCCTTGCAATAACTCTTTGAGGGGTTCATAGGTGGCCTACTGCAAGAACAAATTAATTGTCCCTATTCAACATACCATTATTTTCCAGTGGCAGTCAGATCTCTTGCTCTTCATCCCTACTGTTCCATATTGTAAAACCTACTTATTGTATTAATTGTTAGTTTCCCATCCTTGATATGCATGAAATAATTGACACTGAAAGTAAAGCTAGCAAGAATCAATCAACCAATCTTTCATGGTAATTTGGCAAAATTGAAACTTCTTACTCCAACACAAATTTACTTCTGGAAGTTTTTTTTCTGTATCATTGTCTAATGATGTTAGCCTCACATTTCACCTCAATTACCAACTGAGTACTCATTACATTTTGTTTTCAGACAAACAGATGAACAAAGTAGCTGACAAATACTCCCTTAAATGTTTCAGGGAGCATTCATATAAATGATGTACAGAAAGAAATTTCCTGTTTGAAGTGTTCGCTTCAATGTTCTTTTATAACCAAAACTGAAATCACATATCAATGACATGAACATTCACAATCTGCAAAATAGCTTCCACTATACTTGGTATATAGTCATGCTACATCGATACAGCAGGATCATAAGCCATATGACAAGGTCATAATACCCATAATACCTGTGATTTCCTGTTGTGTTCTATTAAGCTTCTTTAGAACATTCCCAGAACATTTGCCCTCTAAATTTCTACACAGAGCATGATCTATATACTTGTGTATCTCCTTCAAATATAATAATCATACAATAATCTATCTTCAACTTTTCGTTGGCAAAATGGCAAAAAGAAAAATACATGATGGGTCCTTCTGAACCTTGTGTCTCAACTGCTTATTTTGTTCTGAATGAATTTAAGAATTCTATACTTGTTCCATTTCTATAAATATGATTCAGAAAATGTGTATCTCTTACAATGATAACCATTGTATAACTGAAACATTTGGAAAACAAGAATATTTTCTTAGGACACTGTGCCTTGCTTACATTATCACATTCCTGTGCTTAGTGTCCTGCAAAATCTAGGTCAAAACCCAAACATACATTTTACAAAGTATACCTCATAATGAACATGCCTATTAAGGTTCAAGCTAATGTGACTACATCTTTATGGTAAACTTTCTGTTCTCAGTTTGCCCTGTGTTCTTAAATGACATATTTTTGGAAACGTTTACTATAGACATTGGATGATAAGCAATGTCAAAACTAACACTGACTCTTTGGGTTATATTAGCTAAATAAAGGAAAAACTACATGTAAGTCTTTTAGGTAATTGAATTGTTGCTGTGACAATGGATGTCAAGCAATGTCAAAACTAACACTGACTCTTTGTGTTATATTAGCTAAATAAAGGAAAAACTACATGTATGTCTTTTAGTAATTGAGTGGTTGCTGTCACATTTACGTATACTCCACACTACCTTTTATTCATACAATATTCTCTTATTAATGAAAGCGTCTTCACCTTTTTATAAACACTCAGCACTAAATTGTCTGGATGGAAAGGTCTAGCAAAGTCATCAACAAGGGCAGATAACCTTTTAATTTCATCATTCAGCGCAAACGATACATTTCTCTCCACTTCCTCTACCATAACCTTTATTTTATCTTTAATTTCCTCGGTCAATAAGTCAAGTTGTTTATCTAAATATTCTAGTTCATCTGCTGTTTCTTGTCTTTTATGAGCGTGGTCCTCACTGAAAAAAATAAATTACATCCTGAAGATTTGAAAGTTTGTCATTATACCTAAAAAAAGCAATACAATCTTTGAAGACTTTTAACATGTTTAAGACTTTATATAAATAAGAGTAAGTAATTCAATAGTCAGGTCTAATCAAACTTTATGATTGGCATTTGCAGTTTCTCTCTAGTCATGACACATTTAGGAGCAAAAGCAAAGACTGATAAATTTGGCTATAGAGAACTAATAACGCCTCCAGGTTTGGGTGACATGTTTTCCTGTAGAATGTTACTATTTCAGCTAGCAATGTAAAATATGAATCAGTTTAGAAGTATAGAGAACTATTCCTTTACTCACTCAAGAACTCAAATCTTACCAAGCTTGTAAACATTCAGTGTAAGTTCTCTCCATAATATCTTTCAGATCTGCAGTTATTTTCTTCCCTCTTTCTGAATGTGTTTGAAACTTTGTCTGTACAGCTGATTGAGAAATGCACACCTGAAAAAAGGGAATTTTATGAGAATGAAAATTATATAATATTACAATGTTTCATTTTGTCTTCCTACAGACTGTTACTTTGTGAACTAGTAAGTTAAGATTTTGACTAGGTGTGTCTGTCTAGTACAATGCAGGGTTCATATGCATATAGCATTAACATGTTTTTGTCCTAAATATGCATTTTATTTGGATGTTTAGCAGTCATCCATTCTTCTGTCTGTTAAATGTGTTCAAAATTTTCCATATTTTAAGTTCATTCATACTTTTTTAAAAGGGAAGTTCATATATCAAATGGCCTGTGGACAGAAAGTTACATTAGTTTGTTCCCTTTCTCTTGGAACAAGAAATAGGAATTGTGAAGGTATGAATGTCTCCTACATCATGCTTATATTTATCAACATAAATGCAAAAATTCTTTTACGGAGAATAAAACAAACTGAACCTATCTATGTATGGACTCATCACTGACTGAGAATAAAACAAACTGAACATATCTATGTATGGACTGATCACTGACTGAGAATAAAACAAACTGAACCTATCTATGTATGGACTGATCACTGACTGAGAATAAAACAAACTGAACCTATCTATGTATGGACTGATCACTGACTGAGAATAAAACAAACTGAACCTATCTATGTATGGACTGATCACTGACTGAGAATAAAACAAACTGAACCTATCTATGTATGGACTGATCACTGACTGAGATTAAAACATACTAAACTTATCTATGTATGGACTGATCACTGACTGAGAATAAAACAAACTGAACCTATCTATGTATGGACTGATCACTGACTGAGAATAAAACATACTGAACTTATCTATGTATGGACTCATCACTGACTGAGAATAAAACAAACTGAACATATCTATGTATGGACTGATCACTGACTGAGAATAAAACAAACTGAACCTATCTATGTATGGACTGATCACTGACTGAGAATAAAACAAACTGAACCTATCTATGTATGGACTGATCACTGACTGAAAATAAAACATACTGAACTTATCTATGTATGAACTGATCACTGACTGAGAATAAAACAAACTGAACCTATCTATGTATGGACTCATCCCTGACTGAGAATAAAACAAACTGAACCTATCTATGTATGGACTCATCACTGACTGAGAATAAAACAAACTGAACCTATCTATGTATGGACTCATCACTGACTGAGAATAAAACAAACTGAACCTATCTATGTATGGACTGATCACTGAAGGCCTGCAGTTGTTTACATCCTCATTCCCTATTATATATATATAAGATAGTCTTGCTGCAATATACATCATACGTTTATATTATGTATTGTTGAACATGTTCCTTTACCGTTTAAGCTAGAAATATTTCTTAAAAATCACCCCTCCCATTATTAATAGTTTTTCTATATATTCCTTGAAACAACAAACCTCAAAAGCTCTCTCGAAATTTGCAAAGGCAAATAACCTCTCAGCAAAATTCTTCTGTAATGATCCAGCTGTAACAATAAATATAATGTTTTGAGGATTATATTTCATTTTTCATTTTGTGTTGTTATATTGCTTGATTTGCTTACTACATTAAGTCTTGTTATTTATTAAAAGTGTCATTTTGTGAGAGCATGCTGCCTGCTATTCTTATCTGTTTACTGCATTAATGTGCTTTTTTTTTTTCATTTGTTTAACAGTGCATATGTAGTATCTCATGTTTTGTACGTATGTGTAGTAACTCATGATTTATATGTGTAGTATCCCATGTTTTGTATGTGTAGTACCTCATGATTTATATGTGTAGTATCTCATGTTTTGTATGTGTAGTAACTCCTGATTTGTATGTGTAGTATCTCATGTTTTGAATGTGTAGTATCTCATGTTTTGTATGTGTAGTATATCATGTTTTGAATGTGTAGTATCTCATGTTTTGTACGTGTAGTATATCATGTTTTGTATGTGTAGTATATCATTGTTTTGTATGTGTAGTATCTCATGTTTTGTATGTGTAGTATATCATGTTTTGTATGTGTAGTATATCATTGTTTTGTATGTGTAGTATATCATGTTTTGTATGTGTAGTATATCATGTTCTGTATGTGTAGTATATCATTGTTTTGTATGTGTAGTACCTCATGATTTGTATGTGTGTATTGTCCTCATGTTATGTTCATTGTTTTGTCTTAAATGTAATGTATTGTTTGATGTTGTCGATTCAGAAGCTTTTCAGAGCTTCTGTTATTTGTAAAATTATGCACTTTTAGACTTTATATTAAAATGTATATAAGACATTTTGCCTACAATAATCCTAGATCTATTCAATCACTTTTCAGGCAATTTTTTGTTTAACCAAGGTACCGTAAATTGGGAAATTTTGGCGTTGGGATATTTTGGCGGTTTTCTCTCGAAAGGCATGTGTTTTATTTTGGTGTGTGTAATTTTGGTGCTTCGTCCAATTGATATGTTTAATTTTGGAACAACAGCAGTGAGCAACCTCATTCATATTTGTCTGTATTTACCGTTTATTGACAAATATCATTGAATTTCTCAAACTAGAAACACGACAAAGTTAACTTAATGAAGGAATCGGATACGGATGCAATTAATGCAAATAATTCCGTATATCGTGATTCAAAGCTGAAAGAAAATATGAAATAAAATCTTAAACATTAAAACTGAGACTACTATAATTATACACTAATATGTGTTATAGTAGTCTCAGATTAAAATCACTTTTTAAATAGATTATTTATTTTTTACAAATATTATTTGAAATAAATTTTAATCATCTTTATTGCAGTACATGTTAATCTATTGACGATCAAGGATTTAAATTTTAATCCTTATGACTCTGGCAGTACATATTAATTAAATGAAGATAAAGGATTACAGGAAGTTTTGATATTCTAATTACCAATAACGGCGTCTAATCAGCAATAGCCAGGCATATTTATGACATGTGTGAATAAAAATTCATGTTGTGTTTTCTTAACAATTACAGAAAATTGACAATTAAGTAAAAATTATATAGTGTTGTTGTCAAATTATACCAGGTATTTATTTGGAGATTTGGCTATGTTTAGATTTGTAGGATATATACGGAGGATATAATAACATAAATATTTTTCCCAAAAAATTAACATTACGATATTGTCGTACCGGTACGCGATTTTGGCGTTTCACTTTTAGTGATTGCTTTATTTTCGTGTGTTTAATTTTGGCACTTTCATCGGAGACACCAAATAAACCAAAATAAAACAACAACAAAAATAACCCAATTTACGGTATATAACAGCTACTGGACACTAACAACTGAATGATAAATGTCTTCAAAATGACAGAACTGATAATGTCTACTTTAAGCTTTTCAGATCAGTTGTAAGTCTATCAACAAAAGATGTTGACATATATTGGTATAACTACTGTAACATACTTGGTGTTGACATATATACATTGTGACTTGGATGGAGAGTTGTCTCATTGGCACTCATACCACATCTTCTAATTTATATTGGTGATAACAGTGACATATATTAGTATAACTACTGTAACATACTTGGTGTTGACAGTGACATATATTGGTATAACTACTGTAACATACTTGGTGTTGACAGTGACATATATTGGTATAACTACTGTAACATACTTGGTGTTGACAGTGACATATATTGGTATAACTACTGTAACATACTTGGTGTTGACAGTGACATATATTGGTATAACTACTGTAACATACTTGGTGTTGACAGTGACATATATTGGTATAACTACTGTAACATACTTGGTGTTGACAGTGACATATATTGGTATAACTGTAACATACTTGGTGTTGACAGTGACATATATTGGTATAACTACTGTAACATACTTGGTGTTGGTGTCTGGCTGTCTTCATGAAGCCTACTGATCAATGCCTCTTTGGCCGAAACAAAGAAAATTCTATTTGTGGCTTCCTGTTTATCAGCTACTTTCAGTTCATCTGTGAGGAACTGGGTATTTCTGGTATAATGTTGTTCTTTTACCTAAAATGCATAAATATAATCTGAATTATCTGCGAGACATCCTTAGTATTGATCTTACTGATGGGAGGGTTTGTTTCTATACCATGGGTATACTTTGGTCGTTCTGACATCTTTGACAATTCTATTGCACCAGCTGCACATTACAATACATAATGATCTTGATCTCAAAGCCATCTTATTTGTGAATTCAAAACCTTAGACAAATGTTGTAGAGATATTAGTAAAGGATTAGAAGTATGATTAAACCTGGACAAGAAATCATATCTATACATGAGGGAGATCAGATTAATTTCAAATAATTTGCAAGGTTTTTACCACTACAAATTGACATGAACATTTTACTACAGCAGAATTATTATAAAAAATTCAGAAACATCTGTTAACTTATATTTATCCATTTCCTAATGCTATGGTAGTATTTTTATAAAACAATCAAGTTCAGGAATTGTCCTTCAAATCTTTCTTTTCAACTGAAAAGATTAATAAAAAATATACAGTATGTTGACAAAAGTCATCATTTTTTTTTTACACATTACATAAATCAATAATTTCTTTAAAGATATTGTGAAATAATTTTTCTACAATTTAAATGAAATTTTCAAATAATCTCAGAAATATTAAAAGTTTCTTGTTATAATTTATTGCAAAATCTTTTCAACTTTAACGTAAAAAATTCTGATTTTGTTACAAACTTCAATTTTGACATATATTACTACTGATGTAAAGTAAAATGAAAACCAAGATTCAAACCAAAATGTGAAAATTATCAAAAGATGCAACATTGAAATATTACAGAGCTTAACAACTTCAAAGTATTTTTTGAAAAGATACAAATCTATATGAAATAAATATTCAAAAGAGAAAACAACTTTTGTCCACATATTTTAATTATATAATGTTGTTAAATCATTGTGTTTAGTATATTAGGGGATTAACATCAATTCACTTATTGCATTATTTTGAAAAGAAGACTTAATTAAATTCTCTCTCTCAAACTTCGGTGTTTGCACAAGACAGTGTACATGCATTCCAGCAGCTGTACTAATAAAAATGAGAATGGAAATGGGGAATGTGTCAAAGAGACAACAACCCGACCATAAATCTATTAAGAATATAAAAAAGAAGATGTCGTATGATTGCCAATGAGACAACTCTCCACAAGAAGTTCATCTGCTGATATTGGCATGTAGGATGGTTTGGATTGTATATCTAGAGTTTAGGTATTTGGAGGTAACTATGACCATTGTGTTCTTAAAAAACAAAATATATAGTCAAATCTAAAAATGATTCGTTCAGCCAATGCAGTTGTCACATTAAAACTACAGGCAGCAGTTTGCCCACTATACACAAAATCTAGGTAACCCTATTTTTCTGTTGTAAACATGGTTAAAAATTATTCATGTATGAAAGGTAAATTATAAACTTGGAATTTATTTTCTCTCCTTGACCTCTGACCTTGAATTTGATCAACATAATAAATATCAGTACCTCATCTGCATCCTCCTCATTAACAGACACGTCCCATCTGTTTTGCAAAATAAATATGTTGGGTTTGGATAATCGTGAGCTCACTTTGTGGAAAAAGTTCTTCTCCTGAAATGAACACAAAAATAATTTTTGTTGTTAAAATTAGAAAACATATTTCATTGAAAATCTGTTTTACAAATAATCTATCTTCCTATTGCCTCTCTATATAAATTTTTATAGATAAATATATATATATTTACCCTGCAAAAGTTTCTAAAAAAAGAATGTAAAAATGACAGCAAACCTGGTTTTCTTGAATTCATATGTTTAGTGTCATTGTTAAAGCTTTCAAGGTTTTCATATGTTTAGTGTCATTGTTTAAGCTTTCAAGGTTGATTACTCACAATAGATTCAATCAAGCAAGTACCATAACTCTTTAATTGTAAGTACCCAATGTGACCTCCATTTTGTCATGAAAACAACATATCAAAATTTGAAAAGGATTGGAAAAATCATTGTTGAAGACTGTACTGTGACCTTTAGTTGTTTTAACTTCTACATCATTTGGTCTCTGGTGGAGAGTTGTCTCACTGGGAATCATATCACATCTTAATTTTTTATATGCATTTCAATTTTCTTTCATTCATTTACATTTAATACAAAGAAAAATCTCCTTATTTTTATATAAAGTAGAATTTAGCTTACAGTTTGCATGAGTGTTGATTCTGCATTACCAACTAAGACAAAAACATCAGCATCCAGACAGAACTGGTCAATCCATGAGTCTAAATCTGGTGTAACATCTATTCCAGGACTGAAAAAAATTCATTTACTTCACGTTTGGAAATTAATATACAAAAGAACACGACAAACACACTGAAATATTTTGACTGCTTATTTATGACAGATCAAGAATGCATGTGTTGTCGTACTAAGCATACCCCAAATTATAATTCAAAGAATTTTATTCACAAAAAATCTTACGATTAATATTGATTGTAAGTTATACTGAAATGTGTATGACTTACGAGTATGTTTACTCTTTAATATTATTTTGTAAAAAGAGCCGCAGAAATCTGGATGCAGGTATCCGATAGTTCTGAAAAGTGCTTACATATTACACAGGCACTAGACGTTCTATCAATAGTAATAATATATGGGCAATGGGAAGAAAATAAGTGTCCATGTATATAAAAAAGAGCTCTTTTTAATATACATAGGCACTATTTTCTTTCCATTGCCCATATATTATTACTATTGATAGAACGTTAAGTGCCTGTGTATGTTACAGCTCATTACTGACTAAATATAAAGTCATTCTGTTCTGTGCTTTTTTAGAATAGTATGACCAAAAGGTTTTGTTGAAGATTGAATGAAATTACATGCTAACTTACAATTTCACTCATTTACTGAAAAGTTTTTAGTTTTAAGAAGGATGCAAAATTCAAGAGACTTAAATTACTCTTTGTTGATATTTGTTGGTTTATTACATTTTTAAACAATATCTATTAAATGTGTGGTTAAAAATAACTATGAAGCTTACATGTTACTTGTTACTATGTCATTTCAGAGAGCACTAACAAACTCAAACTTAGAAAAAATGCATTAAACATCTGCAATACCTGTCAACAAAGACAACATCTTCTTTCAGCAGACGACACTTCTCTTTTGGCCATACAATCCTTATCAATGAATTCTCTTTAAGTTTCATGGAACTCAGGGCTGAGGCTAACTGCTTGATTGACTGGAAGATGTAAACATATAAAAACATCTTCTTTGTAATTATTCAACACGTATTTGAAATCATTTAAGAAATTAGGATATTTGTAATTGGAATAAAAGGAGATTATGGGTATATGTCAATGAGACAGAAACCCAGACACAAAATAATTCAACAAGTTGAATTTCTATTTAAAATAAGTGCTGGAAAGGCAGTTTTTATCTAAAATTGGGAATCATTTTTTTATGTTTAATCTTTTTTAAACTTCTTTTAATATTGTACCTGTATACAAAACACTTTTTTCAAGCTCTACTCTTTTATTGTGTTTGGTATATGTAGCAGAAATAAGTCTATATGTAAGTCATCGATTTTGGATCCAAGTTATTGTTAAAACGTATTGCCATTGTGTTTATAATACTATCCTAATAATATCATGGGATAAAAAGAATCTAGCTGCCAATCCGGAAAAAAATTCCTTACATATCATTGCATCTGGAACCAAAACAAATAAAAAAAATTTAAACCTTGCGTTATCTTTTTTCTTCTCCTCCCCACCACTTATTTGATTATTAAACTGGTTCTCTTCGTTAAGATTTAATCTTTATCCAGTATTTTGACTTTAATTAATTAATTAATGGTAAATTATTCTGACATGATTTGACAAAATAAATGTTAGTTGGTCATTTATCTTATGAATTTTGCCTACATTATGTGAAAATTTCATGTGCTCAATATGTTCATTTTCTTCTGCTTTATTTTCATTCATTGTCTATGTTTACCTTTGTTTTTATACATTTCCTTTTTCATATATTCAATTTTTATTTTCATTTTTTAATGTTCAGACACTTTAAAGTTTATTAACAGAAAGTTGTAGTTAATGTACATTCCAAGATCTTTCCCTGTTTAACATATGTTGATGTTTTTAACAAAGACATACACTAATACTTTTAGGATCTTCTGAGTCATCTGTCAATAAAAACCCTTCTGAGGCCTCTGTTCCTTCCACTTGTAAAAAGCAATTTGTAGTGTGTCCAATACCACTTGGTAAAATCTTATTCCTTAACATAGCATTGATAGTTGTACTTTTACCATTGGATGTCCTGAAAAGTTAACAATCAAAATAGTTTATTCAGCAATATTCTATACAAGTAGCATTGATCAGATACACTTTTACAGAATCCAAATAAAAGTTTCCTGGTAACTTGATCCTAGGGTACCATTAAATTATATATGGGAATTCAAGAATGCAATTTGATATCTGTAGTGTAATATTGGTGGGTGTCAAGTTCAGTGAAAATGTAGGTAAATTTTAAATTTGACTTTACCCTGTATTGAAGGGGCCACAACTAGGTACCTTGTATCTTTGAATGGAACAGTCCATACCATGAATGGATGTTTTGGAGATATTTCTGGGTACAAAATGTTCCAATTCATTTTGACAGTCAGGGATATAACTCTATAGAGTTATTAGAGAAAAATAACATACATATGTTATTGTGGACTAAAAAATCAAAAAACTGTGATAACATATGTATGTTACATGTTTCAAAGGGCAAATATACATCATTTGTTTATGTATACTAAACTTTAGAAAGATATAACAGTTCATAATATGCCAATCAAGCATAGTACACCTATGTTATTACAGAAAAAATATGCCTGAAATAACTAAAGGGTGTTATTACAGCTTCTCTACATCACTTCAAAGCCTTTGCTCAGACATATATCATGTTTAATCACAATGTATTTTAATTTATTGTAAGAAATAATGATCATAGCATGTAATGAGGTTCTGCGCAAGCTTCCCAGTAATTCCCAAGTGTCTCATACAATAAGTTATATGCCTTTAATAACTAAGCCTTGTTATTACAGCTTAGTTTGTCCCTTAAAAGCCTTGCCTCATTGATTTACCATGGTTGATGAAAAATGAATTAATTTAATTGGAAAATTAGTTATCAAGGCTATGTATTTAGTTTCTGCACAAAGTTTCAAGATTTCCCCAGTGCCCACTAAAAATTAAAATATGTTTGATTTATTTAACAAATAACAAACATATGTTACTACAGATTTAGAAAATTTAAGAAATAAGGAGTAGACAACTCATAAAAGTATCTGTAATAACACATGTATGATATTTTCTGTAATAACCCTATAGAGTTATATCCCTGACTGTTTGATAAACCTTTTCATGTTCAACATGTATATCCAAAAAATTTTCATTTATTCAAAAACTAATGCAATATATAGCTTCAAGTACATTGTCAAACAAATTTATTTTTTATTTGCCACAGAACAAGAGAGATTCTGCCCACTTTGGAAAAACAAATTTTTCCTATCCATACCTGCCAAAAAAAACAACTTTCATGTGGTCTCTCGCCAGTTTGTCTATGATACCACTGACCATCTCCAGAAAGCTATGGACAACTTTAAATTCTTCATTTTCTTCACCTTTGGTTTCTGTTTATAAGATAAAAACATACTATGACATAAAAAATAATATTTGTTCAGTGATCATTTGAATGTCTTTATTACTGTCCCTAAGTGGATATTGGAGTGCCAGTAAAATTATATTCCTATCTAAACATCAGCAGGGTGAATTTGTCTTCAATCAGTTGATCAGATACTTCCTATCTTGATGAATTAAATCAAAGATTTTTCTTAATTTTGTGGATGTTTATTAAGAAATAAAAAGCTTTTCCGTTCCATCGTTAAAAGGATTAAGTTAAAACGTAAAACTCTATTTAAGACAGGAGTGCTAAAACGACTGTGATATCCTTCTTTAAAACAATTGTTTCGTGTAAATGTTGTAAAAAATTCCTCAAATAAGTGATATGTGCCAACATTTAATTATCACCATTTATTGATTAGTTTACTGTTGATAGATATCTAATGCCTGTACCTTTTTTACGATCAGCTGATTATTAAATTTGGGTCAAAATCGAAATGTGTGACAATTTAAACTAAAATAAAATGCTCCGCTGGGGCGCAGCTTGATACGACCGCAGAGGTCGAATCCTGAACAGTTGGGGCAAGTATGGACACAACATTCAAGCTTGATACAGCACTGAATTTGGATTGTAATTAAATATTTGACACAGCATAGGTTTCTCACACAGAATGAAAGTGGTCTAAGAACTTAAAAATTTTTAATTTACCTATTCAAACCATATCATTATTATTTGCTTTTATCATGTTTATATATAAATCAGAAGTAACCAATTTAAAATGGAAAATTTTAAAGAAAAAAAAGGAAACAAAAATCCCCCCCAATTTTTTAAACCCCCTTATGATTCATCAACCCCAAACTCAATCCCAGCTTTCCCTTTGTGGTATGGTACCTTGCAGTACAATTTCAGAGAGATCCATACACTTGATCACAAGTTATTGTCTGGAAACTAGAAAAATGCTTGTTTTTTGCCCCAAATTCCTAAACGTTTAGGGCAATTACCCCCAAACTCAAACCCAGCTTTCCCTTTGAGATATGGAACCTTGCAGTACAATTTCATAATGATCCATACACTTACACACAAGTTATTGTCCTGAAACTAGAAAAATGCTTGTTTTTTTGCCCTTTTATGGCCCCTAATTACTAAAATTTTGAGGGAATTATCCCCCTAAATCAATCCCAGCCTTCCCTTTGTGGTATGGTACCTTGCAGTACAATTTCAGAGAGATCCATACATTTGAACACAAGTTATTGTCTGGAAACTAGAAAAATGTTTATTTTTGGCCCCTTTTTGGCCCCTTACATGTATTCCTAAACTTTTTGGGCAATTACCCCTAAACTCTATTCCAGCTTTCCCTTTGTGATATGGAACCTTGTAGTACAATTTCATAAAGATCCATACACTTACACACAAGTTATTGTCATGAAACTAGAAAAATGCTTGTTTTTTGCCCCTTTTTGGCCCCTAATTCCTAAAATTTGGAGGCAATTACCCCCAAAATCAATCCCAGCATACCCTTTGTGATATGGAACCTTGTGATACAATGTCAGAGAGATCCATACACTTACACACGAGTTATTGTCATGAAACTAGAAAAATGCTTGTTTTTTGCCCCTAATTCCTAAAATTTGGAGGCAATTACCCCCAAAATCAATCCCAGCATTCCCTTTGTGATATGGAACCTTGTGGTACAATGTCAGAGAGATCCATACACTTACACACAAGTTATGTCTGGAAGTTACAAAAATGCTTATTTTTGGTCCCTTTTTGGCCCCTAATTCCTTAACTGTGGGTACCATAACCCCCAAAATCAATCCCCACCTTCCTTTTGTGGTATTGAACCTTATGGTAAAATTTCATTGAGATCCATTCACTTAAACTAAAGTTAGAATGCGAAAACTAATGTGTCTTTGGTAGACGACGACGACGACGCCAACGTCATACCAATATACGACCACAAAAATCTTTTTGCGGTCGTATAAAAAGCAGAGGGTTGACTGATAAGAAAAAGGTCATAGAAGCCCCCCAAAAAATAAGCAAGATGGACGGTGAAACTGATATAAATCTCTCGTCAATAATGATTTTTTTTCGCAATATACGAAAATGGTAACCGCCAGCAGACCTGAATAATGGTGACAAGACAACAGCAAGTTATCTAAATACATTTTTGTACTTTTAAAATAAGCTTTCAGGTTTAACACAACCAATTCAAGCAATCAGAATAGAAAACAATGTCATACCACCAATTCAACCTTGCAAAACATATGTAAAAGTAGACCTACTCTTGATAAAACATAATGCTTTTGATGTGGTTGCTTATTGAATAGGTGGTGTTACCTTGCAGAAAATGTTCAGCCTCCAACACATATTCTGCAATTCCTTTGAAAATGTCATTACTTTTGCTTTTGGCTCTTGCAAAAAACTTCAGTGGTGAGGTTGGACGAGAGTTGTGTCCATTTCCCAAGCTTCTTGGAGTATCAGAAATGTCTCCTTGTCCGAATTGACCTGGGTATGTGTCAACAGTCCTCAGTGATCCAGACATATTCTTTCCTGCCACTGCTATTTTTTATACTGTCAGTTAAAATGTTTTTGAGTAATCTACAAAAATAAAAATTAATTTGTCTTTACAGAATATAAAAAGGAAATAAAAACTGTTATTCCATAATGGTATCATTCATGTCATTCAAATACGTTTTAAAATATGAATTAGAATTTGAACAAAACAACATATTCACCTGCAGAAAAGGAATTTTCATCATGCTAAACATAGCGTGCATTTACAGGTCACATGTTTGATTTACCATGGGTTTTGATAAATAATTGTCATAAAAAGTCCCTTTTTTTCTCGAAATATCATGAATATGGAATAAAACAATTGCTGTCTTTTGTTTTGACCTCTGTCATTTTTTTTTCTTATTTATTAAACCTCTGATCGAGACATCTAAATGAATTATCGCTCCGTGAGTCTTGATTGATCTGGAGCCGCATGTCTTTCCATTCCTTGCTGAAACAAAATTATCATGCTTTATCAACATATAACATTATTTAAGCTCATCATTACTTCTAATGATAGTTATATACAAAAATCTTGAGTTGCTTTTTATGAATGAGTTACATAGTTTAACCAGAGGTCAATCAGCATTAACAACTTCATAGAACAATCGGTTCTTACAGAGACATAATAACATAAGCATGGGGACATAGGAAATTTACGGAAAAGTGCACAAATTAGAAAGTCATCTATGCAAGATCCAAGAGGAATTGGTGAATTATATTGTTGTATAACTGGAGATTTAAAGGTAGTCTAATTGTAAAGTTAGGAAAGATCTTCTATGGTCATACGATTAGAGTGCTGCATTTAGATCCCCAGATTAACCCTGTTGTACCATTCATGTATTTTCACAATAACGGCCCTGTGAGCAATTACTATTGGGACATACGAGTGTCTGCAAGTGCCTGGCAGTTGAAGTTTGACCAGGTCATCAGATGACAGTGACATGTCTGGTTGACATGCAAGGAATTGGCCAGAGGGTTTCTGAGTGAAAGACTTAGGAGTTGTCCAGTAGTGAACCCGTGAGCTGATCGGATAGCGCTAAAAAAGAGGGAAGAGTGTTGTATAATTAGAGATATAAAAGTTGTAACTTGTTAAGTTTTGGAAGATCTTCCGTGGCTCAGTTGGTTAGAGTGCTGCCTATAGATCCTGAGATTGAGGGTTCTAATCCCGCTGGTACCATCAATGTATTTTCACATGCAATAATATGTGTGTGTACCACTCAGCTAGACTGCCTTGCAAGTTTGGTTCAATGACATAATCTACCCTGGTAAATTTATTCCTAGTTTATATTCGCTACAGACTGTCTTGTTTTTGTCCATTATAATTATTGATCAGTTTATAATTGAACTTTCATTTTATATGCTTGTTTGAAGGACAACTGGGACACCAAATGATTAACTCATTTTTTTGCAGAATAAAAAAAGACTGTTAACTTTTAGGTTGTCTTTTATAACATTACTATCTTTTTAAAATCAAAATGTACACACCTCTTCATATATAGTTAAAGATTTGAGATAAAAACACATGTTTTCATAATTTTCGTCATTTTATAACTAGAGTCTGCATAGAGGTTCCTGTATGAAAAACTTCCGATGAGTCCGAGTTGTGCCATTGGATCTAAAAACGGGATACGATATTCGAACTTGGATCCAGGTGTTTAGAAAATAATATGAGGCAGGTGTTATCCACGAGGAACCAGTAATGACGCACCTTAGGTTGTTTTGTCTCTGCATTTAATCTACCATTTAAAAGAATTAGAAAAACGGAATGGAATAAAAGATTGGTAACTTGTTATTATATTTCAATCATTAAACAGTTGATATTTGAAACAGTAATAGCAATAAAATTCATGTTTGCTAACATTACAAACGGACTGCCAACTAATGATGGGTACCAGTAATGACGCACTGTAAACAAACCAGTAAAAACCACTTGCACGTAACTGATAATCGAAAAATTGCTTCAATCCGGATTCTTTAAAATTAAAACTGTTCAACAGATTCAATTTTATTAACAACTTTTGATATTTTCATTCACTTTAATGATCATGATGATTGTAACACCAAATTTTAATCAATTTAAATGTAACCGATATTTTGGTATATAATTGTTCAAAATTTATGAAAGTGATATACATATTCCATATATTTGAAAATAAAAAGTAATTGCATTCTTAAAACAACATTGACAATAATACATTTATCAATCATGACAATGTATTTCATACATTGAATGAAAAAAAATCGATAAACCATAGAAAATTATATAAGCGACGATCAATTGTTCTACAGTGATTCCCGCTTAAATGTGAAACCATTTTCACATGACAGTCACGTGATTTGAAAAACACAAAATGGGGAAGCATACGTTTACATACTTTTCTTGACCAAAGTGGAGATAGGACTGATAATCTTTCGGGGAAGGGTAGAATTTTATTGACCTTAATAAAATGGCGGAAATTGCATTGTCTTTAATATTTTAAGCAATAATAACATTTCTGGGCAGAGTTTTAGGCATCTTTGTTGTAGTCAGATGACCTTCAACATCATGTTATGAACAGCAAATGTTAATGACGTCACGTCTTTTGTTTAGAAATATTAAACCGTTAACTAAATCAGTGCGTCATTTCTGGTCCGCGTCAAAACAGGTACCAAGACGATACCTGTGAATGAGGACGAAGTCTGTATATACATAACTATTTAAATACTGATTGTTGCAAAATTAAAACTATAAATACTGATTATTTCAAAATTAAAGCTATGAATATTAATTATTGCAAAATTAAAGCTATAGTAAAATGATTTTAAATCTTCTTATTAATACACCTTATCGCTATTTGTCCGCCATTACTGGACATCACACAGGTTCCCGTAAAATTTTGACGTCACAATACAAAATATCTGACGCCACAATGGAAAAGTGATTGTTGTATGACGTCAATAGTTCAAGCGGGACAGATTCTCGGGTCAGCCGGGAATAGCGATAAGGTGTATTTTTAAGGCCACCATTTTTTTTAATACATTTTACAAATTGTGAAATATAAAACAAAACATGATCATTAACAACCAGTGACTTTTGAGATACTCTACACTATTGATTTTACATCAGGAGGCTGAACGATAAATGAGTCTTTTAAAAAAAATGCATTTGTTGCGTATTTAACAATTATTTTTGAAAAACATAAAAAGAGAGAGGAATTGAAACTGTAATAGCAAAAAATGACCTTCAGAATGAATGACTTAAAAATCCCTAACATGTACTTGCACTGCAACTAACTTGTGCTGGATGCTTCATAGATTCAAAGTTGCCCATGATTCGGCATCTGAAGCTAAACATCAATAAAAATTGCAAACCGGAAAAACAAAATCTCTGTCAATAATATACTGAGAAGATGTGGTATGAGTGCCAATGATACAACTCTCCATCCAAGTCACAATTTGTAAAAGTAAACCATTATAGACATTATAGGCTAAAGTACGGCCTTCAACACGGAGCCTTGGCTTACACAGAACAGCAAGCTACAAAGGGCCCCAGAAATGACTAGTGTAAAACCATTCATTACAAACAGTAAAACCAACGGTCTAATCTATATAGAAAACGAGAAACGAACAACACTTATGAACCACATCAACAAACGACAACCACTGAACAACAGGTTCCTGACTTAGGACATGCATTAACATGCATTAACTCTCTGAAGTATTCCACTTCAATATTAAATCTTAATCTATATCATGATTGAAAGCATAAAAACGATTTCTGGAAATTAATTGTCAAATTTTGGAACGATGATGGTTTTGTAATTTGTGTACACATTTCTTTCTGTATTTATAACTATCGTTAAAGTTTAAATACTTAGGTAGAAATTTGGACTTTTGAAAAGTAAAAATTTCGAGTTCAAAGTGAAAATTCAAGAGTCAAGGTAGATTAACTGTATATAATCGCCATCATTGGATAGTAAAATAGCAGTATACAATAGGTCAAATTCTTTGCTTAAATCTGCAAATTTTGAGACAGAATGGAAGTTTATGTGTAAGACTGTTTATTCAAATAAATAAAATAATTTATTTCTAGTCTTTTTTAACTATTTCCACAAATACCAAATACTTATTTTGGTCACTATTCATTTTCAATTTAAAAGGGGAGATAACTTTTATAGTAAACATGAAATTTTTATTTTTTACTTGCAGCAATAAAACAAGTTCCGTTTTTATTTTCTAATAGCATATCATACTGTTATAAAAACCATCTCCTCATATTTTATTTCAAAATTCTATTAATAAGAGAAAGTATTGACAAAATTCAATGTACGATTCAAAAAGGGTTCGGAAGTCCACAAAAACGGACAAAATCAAACTTTAGCCTCTTCAATCGCAATTTTAGGTTTAACACGACAGAAAATCCAATATTTATCGGAGTTTGATGATTTAACAGTGTGAATTATCGAGGCAACAAGACAAATTTTCAAAAGCATTTGGAAGGGAGAAGACCAAAATTTAAACTTTTCCAAAAGGCATAAATATATTTCTAAATATATGAGGAATTACTATATATTTCCACACTTTTTTTTATCATGAACTTAAAGTAATTTATTTTATCGATTCCTGAAAGCCCCTGTGCATTTCTATACATTTTACTTGGGCATGATACGGGTGATGTGTGACGTCGCCAATGTCACGTGATGACTGCTATAGTTGCATATGCATAAAATTCAATGTACGATTCAAAAAGGATCCGGAAGTCCACAAAAACGGACACAATCAAACTTTAGCCTCTTCAGTTCAACCAACGGAACGAATGGAAAACAAATGTCATATTCCTGACTTGGTACAGGCATTTTCCAAAGAAAATGGTGGTTTAAACCTGGTCTTATGTTTAGCAAAACTCCCCACATTGTCAACCCATATTTTTTCCGCCTAACACTTTCCCCTTGAAACTTTGTTTTATGTCTTCCTGTTAAAACAAATATTCTATACCCTTTATTCCGTTAGGAACGAAGGCCGTATGGTTGTCTATAATTGCATACATCCATTTCATTTGAACCTTGCGGTGGATAGTTGTCTCATTGGCAATCATACCACATCTCCTTATTTTTATATTGATTGCATGCAGGGTTTGTTGCTCGTGCTGTGTTGATGCTGTAGAATGTGTCCCCGTGCTTGAAGTGTATGCCCCTAATATTTTACAGTTATTTCATTTGGTGGATAGTTGTCCCATTGGCCGCAATCATACTAATCTCCTTATTTTTATAAAAAGTAAAACAACAAAAATACCGAACTCCAAGGAAAAATCAAAACGGAAAGTCCCTTAACAATTGGCAAAATCAAAAGCTCAAACACATCAAACTAATATATTTATATAAATACTGTAATATTTGTTCCAGTGGAAATAATATTACCGAATATTTCTTCCATTTGGAACTTATATTATCAAGGAATTCTATTTCATGACATTATGACAGTTGTTTATTGTTCCATTACCTTTATACAGGATACAAATATGTTAACATGTACACATGGTAAGCGTGTTTATTTCTATTATGTACAGGGTCCATTACCAGTTTGATACTGAATCCGAAATGTTCTAATACAAATTATCCAACAAGTAAACTTATTTCATAAATTAGATTGAAACATTGAACTTAAATATGTACAACTACTCTTTGCGTTCTATAATGAACTATGTATAAATATTCTATCTGAGATATTTGGTGCACATTTGTACAGATACAAATATGTATCCTTGGTCAGGGACAAACTTGTCTAAATGGCATACAAGCTACGACTTGTCCTTTTAGTACAATTTGGTACCCTACAAGCTATATAAAACTTATAGAATCTGCTGGCTTCAGGCGGACACAGCTGGACACAGTGCTATTTCTATATAAAACTTAAAGATATAGGGGGAGATAGGCGGACACAAGTGGACACAACGTAATATCTATATAAAACTTATAGAATCTGCTGGCTACAGGCGACACAGCTGGACACAGTGCAATTCCTTTATAAAAATTATAAAAAATGGGGATACAGGCGGACACAAGTGGACACAACGTAATTTTTATATAAAACTTATAGAATCTGCTGGCTACAGGCGGACACAGCTGGACACAGTGCTATTTCTATATAAAACTTTATGAAATAGGGGATACAGGCGGACACAAGTGGACACAACGTAATTTCTATATAAAACATAGAATGTGCTGGCTACAGGCGGACACAGCTGGACACAGTGATATTTCTATATAAAAATTACAGAAACAGGGGCCTACAGGCGGACACAAATGGACACAACGTAATTTCTATATAAAACTTAAAGATATAGGGGGAGATAGGCGGACACAAGTGGACACAACGTAATATCTATATAAAACATAGAATGTGCTGGCTACAGGCAGACACAGCTGGACACAGTGCAATTCCTTTATAAAAATTATAAAAACTGGGGATACAGGCGGACACAAGTGGACACAACGTAATTTCTATAAAACTTATAGAATCTGCTGGCTACAGGCGGACACAGCTGGACACAGTGCTATTCCTTTATAAAAATTATAAAAACTGGGGATACAGGCGGACACAAGTGGACACAACGTAATTTCTATATAAAACTTATAGAATCTGGTGGCGACAGGCGGACACAGCTGGACACAGTGCTATTCCTTTATAAAAATTATAAAAACTGGGGATACAGGCGGACACAAGTGGACACAACGTAATTTCTATATAAAACTATAGAATCTTCTGGCTACAGGCAGACACAGCTGGACACAGTGCTATTTCTATATAAAACTTTACGAAATAGGGGGATACAGGCGGACACAAGTTGACACAACGTAATTTCTATATAAAACATAGAATGTGCTGGCTACAGGCGGACACAGCTGGACACAGTGATATTTCTATAAAAATTACAGAAACAGGGAGCTACAGGCGGACACAAGTAGACACAACGTAATTTCTATATAAAACTTATAGAATCTGCTGGCTACAGGTGGACACAGTGCTATTTCTATATAAAAATTACAGATACAGGGGGCTACAGGCGGACACAAGTGGACACAACGTAATTTCGATATAAAACTTATAGAATTTGCTGGCTACAGGCGGACACAGTGCTATTTCTATATAAAACGTAAGGAAACAGGGGGCTACAGACGGACACAAATGGACACAACGTAATTTCTATATAAAACTTAAAGATATAGGGGGAGATAGGCGGACACAAGTGGACACACCGTAATATCTATATAAAACATAGAATGTGCTGGCTACAGGCAGACTCAGCTGGACACAGTGCAATTCCTTTATAAAAATTATAAAAACTGGGGATACAGGCGGACACAAGTGGACATAACGTAATTTCTATAAAACTTATAGAATCTGCTGGCTACAGGCGGACACAGCTGGACACAGTGCTATTCCTTTATAAAAATTATAAAAACTGGGGATACAGGCGGACACAAGTGGACACAGAGTAATTTCTATATAAAACATAGAATGTGCTGGCTACAGGCTGACACAGCTGGACACAGTGATATTTCTATAAAAATTACAGAAACAGGGAGCTACAGGCGGACACAAGTAGACACAACGTAATTTCTATATAAAACTTATAGAATCTGGTGGCTACAGGTGGACACAGCTGGACACAGTGCTATTTCTATATAAAAATTACAGATACAGGGGGCTACAGGCGGACACAAGTGGACACAACGTAATTTCGATATAAAACTTATAGAATTTGCTGGCTACAGGCGGACACAGTGCTATTTCTATATAAAACGTAAGGAAACAGGGGGCTACAGACGGACACAAATGGACACAACGTAATTTCTATATAAAACGATGGAATCTGCGGGCTACAGGCGGACACAGCTGGACACAGTGCAATTTCCTATTTAAAACTTTAAGATACAGGGGGGTACAGGCGGACACAAGTGGACACAACGTAATATCTATATAAAACTTATAGAATCTGCTAGCTACAGGTGGACACAGCTGGACACAGTGCAATTCCTTTATAAAAATTATAAAAAATGGGGATACAGGCGGACACAAGTGGACACAACGTAATTTTTATATAAAACTTATAGAATCTGGTGGCTACAGGCGGACACAGCTGGACACAGTGCTATTCCTTTATAAAAATTATAAAAACTGGGGATACAGGCGGACACAAGTGGACACAACGTAATTTCTATATAAAACTTATAGAATCTGGTGGCTACAGGCGGACACAGCTGGACACAGTGCTATTCCTTTATAAAAATTATAAAAACTGGGGATACAGGCGGACACAAGTGGATACAACGTAATTTTTATATAAAACTTATAGAATCTGGTGGCTACAGGCGGACACAGCTGGACACAGTGCTATTCCTTTATAAAAATTATAAAAACTGGGGATACAGGCGGACACAAGTGGACACAACGTAATTTCTATATAAAACTATAGAATCTTCTGGCTACAGGCGGACACAGCTGGACACAGTGCTATTTCTATATAAAACTTTATGAAATAGGGGGATACAGGCGGACACAAGTTGACACAACGTAATTTCTATATAAAACATAGAATGTGCTGGCTACAGGCGGACACAGCTGGACACAGTGATATTTCTATATAAAAATTACAGAAACAGGGGCGTACAGGCGGACACAAATGGACACAACGTAATTTCTATATAAAACTTAAAGATATAGGGGGAGATAGGCGGACACAAGTGGACACAACGTAATATCTATATAAAACATAGAATGTGCTGGCTACAGGCGGACACAGCTGGACACAGTGCTATTCCTTTATAAAAAGAGAATAACTGTAGTCAAGGAACTTAGAATATGTTATATGTTTCAATTTATATTAATTTTTTTGGCTTATATGCAATACACTATGCTGTTGCGAATTGACCCCCCTACCCAAAAAAATACACCCCTTAAGCTTTCTGTTGCGTATTGACCCCTCATTTTTTTTTTGCTCTTGTGCAATACACTATTATGCTGTTGTTTATTGACACCTCCCCTTTTTTTTTGGCAAAAATAAATTATATTTAAAGAAAATGTCTTTTTAATTTCTGAAATTTCTGTAATCTAAAATTTAAAATTTAAAATTCCAAATTGAATTTGCAACCATAATTACCCATTTAAATACATCCTAAAATTCCTTTTTAAAACAGTTAGTTCTCTCTTGATGGCTGTATTTTTGACATTTTCACCTGTTATGTCTGTTTGATTTGTTCACACATCGTTGTCAATATAATGGAATTTGATGTGACTGTCATACAAGTGAGAGGTTTAGCTAGTTATAAAAGCAGGCTCAATCCACCATTTTCTACATAAGAAAGTGCCTGTACCAAGTCAGAATATGATAGTTGTTATCCATTCATTGCATGTGTTTGAGCTTTTGATTTTGCCATTTGATTAGGGACTTTCCGTTTTGAATTTTTCTCAGAGTTTATTATTTTTGTGATTTTATTTTTTTCTAAAAACAAATTGGCAGCAAATCACCTCAAGACAATACATTTCGTTATACATGATTTAAAATTAGTGTAAGGGATGTAATTCAAACGTTACATTCATGTACTTAAATAAGTAATAGTCCATCAAACAGGAAATCATTGTTTTCCCCCTTTTTTGCCCCTAATTCCTAATTGGTTTAAGCTATAACCCTCAAAAGCCAATCTTAACCATCCTTTTGAGGAATGGAAAATCGTGGTATAATTTCAGAGAGATCCATACAATGTTCCACAAGTTATTGTCTGGAAACTAGAAAAATGTTTTTTTGGGCCCCTTTTTGCCTCCTTAAATCCCTAAACTGTTGGGACCACAACCCCTTAAATCAACCCCAACCTTTCTTGTGTGGTTATAAACCTTGTGTTCAAATTTCATACATTTCTATTTACTTATACTAAAGTTATTTAATTATTTAATGTAAATTTGAAAATAATTGATAATCATTATGAATGTCAAAAGTGTATATTTAATTTTGAAGTGTTTTGGTTGTGTTGATAAAAAAACATGTTGCAAAAAAAGACTAGATGTGTCGAAACGACACGAATGGCCCTGTCTCAAAAAGTTGAAAAATCTGCAATTTCAACAACACATGTGAATACAAACATGATGGTAGTCTCACATATCAAAATTCTGCTTAAAATCTTCAGGCTTTAAAAAATTTTTTGGGGAAAATTAGCAAAGCGGAACTAAACATAAACTTGATCTGTAACTCATCATGGTTAACTCACATACCAGAAATCAGCCCAATATCTGAAGGCGTTTAGAAAAAAACCTGTATAACTGTGATTTTCAACAATTTATCGAAGTCCAAAGCCCGTAATTTCGGCAAAAATAGTAGAGCAGGACAAAACTCAAACTTGATCTGTAACTCATTATGGTTAACTCACATACCAAAAATCAGCCCAATATCTGAAGGTCTTTAGAAAAAAAAGTCTGTATAACTGTGATTTTCAACAATTTATCGAAGTCCAAAGCCTGTAATTTTGGCAAAAATTAGCGGACCAGAACGAAACTAAAACTTCATCTAAAACTCATCATGTGAACTCACATACCAAAAAATCAGCCTAATATCTGAAGGCATTTAGAAAAAAAGCCCGTATAATGGTTTGTTGCGGAATGACGGAATGACAGAATGATGGAAAGATGGATTGACGGAATGATGGAATGACAGACAAGGGTAAAACTATATGGCCCCGACAGCTTTGTTGCGAGGCCATATTTGTTGCGGGGCCATAAAAAGCTTCATCATGTGTAATTACTAGTTCATGAAGATCAAAAATGTTCTCAATTTGGAAGAAAAACACAGCACTTGGTATCATTCCAACATGAACTGTACAGAAGCTGCTGCTTAATTTGATGAAAAGCCACAACTCTATCTAGCTACTGAGAAGTGCTACAATATTTATGTATAAGCAGCACATAAACAGTAACAAGAAAGGCTGTTAACCTGTGAACTTTTAGACGACAGCAATTTCTCAATATTTAAACTTATCAGATTGATGTAGAAAACAGAAACCACACGAGACAAAACAGAAACTATACTTCCAGACCAGTACACCCTGCCCTTACTATGAAATCACATTCTCTCACAGATTAACTCCCTCTCTATATTCCACTTACAATCATATACAATCACCCTCTCCATCATTCTATTTTTCTCCCTCCCTTTCTCACCCTTTCACCCTATCATAACACCCTTAACCACCTACCACCTAATACCCCTTCTGCTTCGTGTTAAGTCCCTATGAGAAAATTGGGTTAGTAGATGAATACGATATTATAAGATGTACCAGATATGGAAGATCTTAAAATTTTAGAAATGTGAAGGAAATTTAGAACTGATTGATATCAAACATAAATATATGAACCTGAGCCACTTTTAGAAATGTAGTCTTATTTTCTACACATAATGGTCATCATAGCATTCGTACAAAAGATTAACAGCCAACGTTACAGAAAGCCAAATTGTGTAATGTAAATTTGAAAATAGAATGCTGTTTTGATTGATAAACATTATGGAGGCCAAAAAGTATATATCCCACTCTTAATTTTGAAGTGTTTTTGGTGTGTTGATTACAAAATATGTTGAAAAAAATGAAAAAAACATAAATGAAAATTGCCAAATGGTATAAATCCAAATAGTTCAAAAACACATAAAACAAAAAGCCAAATGAAAAATGCCAAAGTTTAAAATGCCAAATGGTATTAAAAATACCTGTCTGCTTGTACTAGCCAGCCGGCCTGTGGGTTAGCTGGACTTTAAGGTGCTAGTTCACCAAGACAAATGCCCACAGTAGGTCACCTATCTTTTCCTTTTGGAGTACCAGTTTTTAAGTCTTTGATTTGACTTGGGGGCTCAACATTTAACTAAAAAAAGATAAAAAAAGGGTCTCCTGTATAAATTAAAATTTGGACTTAGAAAGTAAAATATTCCCTTTGTCCCCCACACCCAAATGGATAAAATAATGTAAAAAGTCCCTCATTTCCCAAATAATCATAAAATGACCTGCCTCAACTTATAAATTAGGATAAAAACAGTAAAATATCTCCAATTAAAATTTAGATAAAAACAGTAAAATATCCATAATTAAAATTTAGATAAAAACAGTCAAAATATCCGATTACAATTTGGATAAATGCAGAAAAATATCCCCAATTAAAATTTGGATAAAAACAGTAAAATATTCCCGATTAAAATTTGGATAAAAACAAATAAAATACTTTTTTCCCCTTGAAAGCATGTTACAGAGCTTCACATGCAGACTGAGCCACCTCACTCTCAGTTTGTTCCAGTAAAAACAATAAAATATCCCCAATTAAAATTTGGATAAAAACAGTAAAATATCCCCAATTAAAATTTGGATAAAAACAAATAAAATACTTTATCCCCCTTAAAAGCATGTTACAGAGCTTCACATGCAGGCTGAGCCACCTCACTCTCAGTTTGTTCCAGTAAAAACAATAAAATATCCCCAATTAAAATTTGGATAAAAACAGTAAAATATCCCCAATTAAAATTTGGATAAAAACAAATAAAATATACAATTAAAAGCATGTTACAGAGCTTCACATGCAGACTGAGCCACCTCACTCTCAGTTTGTTCCTGTAAAAACAATAAAATATCCCCAATTAAAATTTGGATAAAAACAGTAAAACATCCCCAATTAAAATTTGGATAAAAACAGTAAAATATCCCCAATTAAAATTTGGATAAAAACAAATAAAATATACAATTAAAAGCATGTTACAGAGCTTCACATGCAGACTGAGCCACCTCACTCTCAGTTTGTTCCAGTAAAAACAATAAAATATCCCCAATTAAAATTTGGATAAAAACAGTAAAATATCCCCAATTAAAATTTGGATAAAAACAAATAAAATACTTTTTACAATTAAAAGCATGTTACAGAGCTTCACATGCAGGCTGAGCCACCTCACTCTCAGTTTGTTCCAGTAAAAACAATAAAATATCCCCAATTAAAATTTGGATAAAAACAGTAAAATATCCCCAATTAAAATTTGGATAAAAACAAATAAAATACTTTTTACAATTAAAAGCATGTTACAGAGCTTCACATGCAGACTGAGCCACCTCGCTCTCAGTTTTCCCTTAAAAGCATGTTACAGAGCTTCACATGCAGACTGAGCCACCTCACTCTCAGTTGGTGCAAAAAATATTTTGACTGAGCCATCGCACATCAGTCAAACTGAGCCACCTCACTCTCAGTTTAACGTACCAGTAAGAATGGATACTTGATACGTATGACGGGGGACGTTCCTATACCTAAAAGGGAGGTATAGTATCTGTGAACCCCAAACACAGAGCGCGGCTTAACTTCGTCATACGTATACACAAGTATCCAATGCTAACTGATACATAACGTTGTCATGTTTTTCATGTCAGTCACTGAAAATAATTTTTACAACTGAAATAATAACAAAAACCTTGATTCCAAGTTGCCTGTGGTAGGAAGTGAAATAATATCAAAAACCTTGATTCCAAGTTGCCTGTGGTAGGAAGTGAAATAATAACAAAAACCTTGATTCCAAGTTGCCTGTGGTAGGAAGTGAAATAATATCAAAAACCTTGATTCCAAGTTGCCTGTGTTAAGGAGTGAAATAACTTCTCTGTAAAATATATCTAGTTTTGAAATTGTTGATGGTTTTCTTAAGGATTGAAGAACATGTGGCATTCCGGTAAACACAGTGTGACAGCAACTCAACTATAAAGTAAAACCAGAAAGATATGAAAATGTAAAAAGTTGAGGTCTGGAGCTGGCATGTCAGCTACTGCTAGTAGTCTGTTGTTATGTTTATTTTCTTTTGTTTCATATTCTGACATCGAACTCAAACAACTCTTAAACTGAGTTTCACTGTGCATATTTTTGTGCGATTTTTTTTTCTACATTGGCTAGAGGTATAAGGGGAGAGTTGAGATCTCAAAAAACATGTTTAACCCCGCCACAATTTTGTGCCTGTCCCAAGTCAGGAGCCTCTGGCCTTTGTTACTCTTGTATGATTTTCAATTGTAGTTTCTTGTGTTTAATTAGTTTAGTATGATGTCCATTATCACTGAACTAGTATATATGTTTAGGGGCCAGCTGAAGGACGCATTAGGGTGCGGGTTTTTCTAGCTGCATTCAAGACCCATAAGGGGCCTTCAGCTGTTGTCTGCTCTATGGTCGAGTTGTTGTCTCTTTGACACATTCCCCATTTCCCATTCCCCATTTCCATTCTCAATTTTAGTCTTTAATCATTACTTTTTCAAATTATGACTTGGATTGAGAGTTGCCTCATTGGCACTCATACCACATATTCTTATATCTATTTAACAATGACTTGTTCTTAGGTGGAAAGTCATTTTACTATTTATTCGAATTTCAAGATATCTCATATAATATATAAGATATGTTATATAATATATAAGATATCAAATATATGATATCTTATTTAATGTATAAGATATCTTATTTAATATATAAGATAGCTTATAATTTTATTTTTATACAATATCTTATATATCAAATGAGATATTTTATATATTATATAAGATATAGATATCTTATATATTATATAAGATATAGATATCTTATATATTATATAAGATATCTCATAAAGTATATAAGATATATTACATACTTTATAAGATATCTTCTGAATTTTATAAGATATCTCATATAGTTGAAGATATTTTATAAATTTTATGAGATATCTTAAAAACTATGTGAGATATCTTATAAAATTATATGAGATATCTTATATAGTTAATGAGATATCTTATATAGTTTATAAGATATCTTATATAGTTTATAAGATATCTTATATAGTTTATAAGATATCTTATATAGTTTATAAGATATCTTATATAGTTTATTAGATACCTTATATAGTTAATGAGATATCTTATATAGTTTATAAGATATCATTGGCATTCAAGGATAGTTATTCTCATTGGCAACCCTTCCATATATCCTTTTTTTTTATATGGTTGAGAGATAAATGTAGTTTCCTGTGTGTATAACCCGTGCATTGAGTTGCACTTTCAGGCTAAAAATAGACTTGATAAATTTCTGGCAGCACATCTATCAAAGATTAGCATATGACAATTTATTCTGTTATAAGTTTCAAGAAAGAAAATAAAAATTTGTCTATCTTTTATGTTGTTTTTGTTTATTCTAAACATATAAAACATTTTCATAATTCATTTAAATGAGCAAAAATTCTTCAATTCATACCAAGAATGTACCGTTTTAAAGAATACCGTACAAGTTCTTCAAGTCTTTAATTGCATACAAATGTTTGTCACAGACTATTATCTGCCTTGTAAGTGTTCATATGAAAAATACCACATTTAGGTCATACAAATGCTAGTCCAGATAACATCCATGTAGTCTTTGAATTATTTGATTATTGTCTCATTTCTGTTAAGGATTCACTTCTAATACATTTGACCTTGTTCAAAGATGACGTGTTGACAACTCCTCTTCAACCAAATTGATTGTTCTGAACTTCTCTCAACATACTGAAAAGTAAAAATAAGATTTATTATCCCTAAAGTATGCATGTTTAAGTTTAATCAGCCATTCATATGTAAAGTTTAGTTTAATCAATTTTGAATAATTGGTAAATGATAATAAAAAAGATGTGGAATGATTGCCAATGAGACAAATCTCAACAAGAGACCAAATGGCACAGAAATTAACTACTTTAAGTCACAGAACATGGTCATAGATAAAAGGCTCCAAAATTACCATAGTAAAATAATTCAAACAAGAAAACTAATGGCCTGATATAAGTACAATACTAGAGGCTCTAAAGAGCCTGTGTCGCTCACCTTGGTCTATGTTCATACTAAACAAAGGACATACATAATAGATGAGAATAGAATTCATGACAAAATTATGTTTTGGTGATGATGATGTGTTTGTCAATCTTACTTTACTGAACATTCTTGCTGTTTCGATTTTCTCTATCTATAATGAACTTGCTCAGTAGTTTCAAAGGAAAATATTTTGTAAATAAAATGCTCCGCTGGGCGCAGCTTAATATGACCGCAGAGGTCGAACTCTGAACAGTTGGGGCAAGTATGGACACAACATTCAAGTTTGATACAGCTCTGAATTTGGATTGTGATTAAATATTTGACACAGCATAGGTTTCTGACACAGAATGAATGTGGTCTAAGAACTTAAATTTTTTTAATTTACCTAGTATGGTCCAATATCCAAAATCTAAATACATGGTTAGATTCAGCATATCAAAGAATCCAAAGAATTTAATTTTGGACCCTTTTGACCTCAATGTGGACCAATTTGATAACAGGGCCCAAAAATCAAAATACATGGTTAGATTCAGCATATCAAAGAACCCCATATATTCAATTTTTGTTGAAATCAAACAAAGTTTAATTTTGGACCCTAACTTGGACCAACTTGAAAACTGGGCCCATAATAAAAAATCTAAACACATGTTTAGAATCAGCATATCAAAGAACCCCAAGAATTCAATTTTTGTTAAAATCAAACTAAGTTTAATTTTGGACCCTTTTGGACCTTAATGTAGACCAATTTAAAAAACAGGACCCAAAATTAAAAATCTAAATACACGGTTAGATTTGACATATCAAAGAACCCCAATAATTCAATTTTTGATGAAATAAAACAAAGTTTAATTTTGGACCCTTTTGACCTCAATATGAACCAATTTGATAGCGGGGCCCACAAATTAAAAATCTAAATACATGGTTAGATTCAGCATATCAAAGAACTCCATATATTCAATTTTTGTTGAAATCAAACAAAGTTTAATTTTGGACCCCAATTTGGACCAACTTGAAAACTGGGCCCAAAATCAAAAATCTAAATACATGTTTAGATTCAGCATATCAAAGAACCCCATATATTCAATTTTTGTTTAAATCAAACTAAGTTTAATTTTGGATCCTTTGAACCTTAATGTAGACCAATTTGAAAACTGGACCCAAAATTAAAAATCTAAATACATGGTTAGATTTGGCATATCAAATAATTCTATTTTTGATGAAATCAAACAAAGTTTAATTTTGGACCCTTTTGACCTCAATATGAACCAATTTGATAGTGGGGCCCACAAATAAAAAATCTAAATACATGGTTATATTCAGCATATCAAAGAACCCCATATATTCAATTTTTGTTGAAATCAAACAAAGTTTAATTTTGGACCCCAATTTGGACAAACTTGAAAACTGGGCCCAAAATCAAAAATCTAAATACATGTTTAGATTCAGCATATCAAAGAACCCCATATATTCAATTTTGGTTAAAATCAAACTAAGTTTAATTTTGGACCCTTTGGACCTTAATGTAGACCAATTTGAAAACTGGACCCAAAATTAAAAATCTAAATGCATGGTCAGATTTGGCATAACAAATAAATAAATGTGGTCAAAGATTTTACAAATCTAATGCGCCATACTGTGCAATTAAAGATTACTTCTTGAAGTTTTTCAATATTTGAAATTTGAAAAAAAAAATAATATTTGAAGAATAATTCTTTTTAATTTCTGAAATCTGAAATGAGAAAAAATTGACCCCCACAATTTCTTTTTACCCCCCCCCCCCCCCCCCCCCCCTTTTCCCCAAAAAAATATCTTTCCCTCAAGATATGGTCATAATCTCAATTCAAATTTCCTATGGAATTTGCAACCATAATTACCCATTTAAATTTACCATAGTGCTAACTTAATCTATTTTATAATAGAATTTAAAATATGGTGTCAAATCTTTCATATGGATTTTTTTGTAAAAAAAAAGAAGATGCAACATTTGCAGATATTTTTACTGGTCTTCCTTTATAAATATGCATTTCTTTAAACATAATTTAAAAGCAGTGCAAGGGAAGTAATCAAAACGTTGTATGTGGATTACCTCCCTTACACTGTTTTAAATTGTCTTAATTGTTCATTAACCATTACTTTATACATAATTTAAAAGCAGTGTAAGGGAGATAATTCAAATGATGTATTTGATTTATCTCCCTTACACTGCTTTAAATTACGTTTTGTACTAAAGTATTTGTCCATATAAATTTGCTTGTTTTTTGCCCCTAATTCCTAAAATTTTGAGGCAATTACCCCCAAAATCAATCCCAGCATTCCCTTTGTGATATGGAATCTTGTGGTACAATGTCAGAGAGATCCATACACTAACACACAAGTTATGTCTGGAAGTTACAAAAATGCTTATTTTTGGCCCCTTTTTGGCCCCTAATTCCTTAACTGTTGGTACCATAACCCCCAAAAACAATCCCAACCTTCCTTTTGTGGTATTGAACCTTATGGTAAAATTTCATACAGATCCATTCACTTAAACTAAAGTTAGAGTGGGAAAACTATTGTGTCTTCGGACGACGACACCGACACCGGACGACGACGACGACGCCAATGTCATACCAATATACGACCACAAAAATTTTTTTGCTGCCGTATAAAAATTACAAAAATTTACATAATTTACGAAAATTGTTTAAAATTTACTATAAAAAGCAATAACTCCTTATTGACCGTTTTGGTCAAGTTGACTTATTTGTAGATCTTACTTTGCTATACATAATTGCTGTTTACAGTTTATCTTTATCTAAGATAATATTGAAGATAATAACAAAAACTGCAAAATTTCTTAAAATTACCAATTCAGGGGCAGGAACCCAACAACAGGTTGCCTGATTTGTCTGAAAATTTCAGGGCAGTTAGATCTTGACTTAATGAACATATTTTAATGAATGAGATTTGCTCTAAATGCTTTGAATTCAGAGATATTAGCCAAAAATTGCATTTTACCCCTAAATACTATTTTTAGCCATGTAGGCCATCTTGGTTTGTGGACAGGGTCATTGGACACATTTTTAAAACTACATACCCTTAAGATGATGATTGCCAAGTTTGGTTAAATTTGAAGTAGTTTCAGAGGAGAAGATTTTTTTAAAAGATTACTAAAATTTTTGAAAAATGGTTAAAAATTGACTTTAAAGGGCAATAACTCCTTAAGGGGTCAACTGACAATTTAGGTCATTTTGACTTATTTGTAGATCTTACTTTGCTGAACATTATTGCTGTTTTCAGTTTATCTCTATCTATAATAATATTCAAGATTATAACCAAAAACTGCAGAATTTCCTTAAAATTACTAAATCGGGGGCAGCAACCCAACAACGGGGTGTCCGATTTGTCTTAAAAATTTCCGGGCAGATACATGTAGATCTGCACCTGATAAACAATCTTACCCCATGTCAGATTTGCTCTAAATGCTTTGGTTTCAGAGATATAAGCCAAAATCTACATTTTACCCCTATGTTCTATTTTTAGCCATGGCAGCCATCTTGGTTAGTTGGCAGGGTCATCGCACACATTTTTTAAACTAGATACCCCAATGATGATTGTGGCCAAGTTTGGTTAAATTTGGCCCAGTAGTTTCAGAGGAGAAGATTTTTGTAAAAGTTTACGGACGACGGACGACAGACGACGGACGCCAAGCGATGAGAAAAGCTCACTTGGCCCAGGTGAGCTAAATATAGGCACGTAAACACTGAGATTACTATATAATAATACTATGCTTTGGGGTAGACATCAACCTGAACCATTGATCTTTTGATTCTTAAACCTTCACCCCAGCCACACAAACAAACACACAGTCGATGCCTAATGCAGAAGTTCTGTTCTGTTCATACTATCGTAACAATATTCAAGAAATTCATATTTTCTTATATCCTCTACTGTAAAATCCCTACCTGCTTAGGAATTTGAATTAATGTGGTCATTACACACAGATCTGAGATTACTGGAAGATAGTTGATTGATTTATTGCTAAACATCCAGTGGCAAATAGTTTTGCATGATCAGGACAAAAACAAATTTACGATACTAGTAAATACAACAGTTAGCCACTAGGTCCTGTAATAGGGGTCGTCCAAGATGAAGGTCTGAACTTTTGAAAATGCCATTGGAAAATTAGGGTTTATTGATCTTTATTGGATAGGGACAGATATTTTGCCTTTCAAATTGCCCTCAAAGAGTTGTTGCAAGTGTTATTAGCGTGCAGAGAGCGAGGCCAAAATTTGTTTGGACTATTTTAAGCTTAAGGCCCACAGAGGGTCAAGGGAAAGGATTTTCAACTTTTTCGAACGAATCTTTAAACTCATTGGGGAAAAATTGGTTAAACAAATCTAAAATTTCTGAACTTTTATGAATAACTTTCAGATCCAGTTTCATACACAAAGTCAATGATACACTTATTCAAAGTCAAGTCAACGTTATTTTTTCTGCCAATAAAATCAGTTATACTCTCATTAACTTCAACATTGAGGTGTGGGTGGGTATGAAGAAGGGATAGATTAGAAAGTCGCTCATCTCCGATCTCAGGTAGGACTTGATGCGTCGCATAGCACTGAAGGATCTTTCACTAGTTGCCGATGAAACGGGCATTGTCAATAAAATCAAAATAATCCTATGCACCGAAGGGTACAGATCTGTGTTTGAATACGGACGGGCACCGTATAAATAATAATACACATTAGAATTACAATGTGTATTTTTTTTTTATTCCAAAGGGGTATATAATTGGCAAATTTATGTATAGGCATGTGCCTAGTCGAGCCTTAGGTAGCTACGCCACTGAATGTGGCAGCCAAGCGATGCATTTACTAAAAATGAGTGCAAATGATTGGCATAAAAGACTAACATTGTTAGACATAATGAATAATATACAGAATTCAATATTTCACAAGGAACAACCATGGAATTAAGAAAACTGGGTAGCAACGTTCAAGTGCAGTGGCGTAGCTACTATTGACGCAACGACGCACTTGCGTGCACAAACAAACAGGCAAAAAAAAAGTTTTGAAAGACTTTTTTTTTAAAGAATGATTGAGAAAGAGTGTGAGAGTGAGGGAGTATCGATAAATACAATTTATTCATCGATACTTATAAGAATACCCAAACTTTTCCATATTTTACCATCAGTTACATCAATTCATATACCATCTTCTAAACGAATTTAAAGACCGATTGACTGGTTAATTCAGAGGAAATGTTTCTCGCCCACCTTCTAATTCCACAGAATGTTAAAGAGTTAAAACGCGAAGATCAGTTGGGTATATATATCATGCCAATGAGCCTCTCGAGATCCAAAGATATGTTGCTCGTTGAAAGATACCAGATCAACTATATGAAACATTGGAAACGACAAACAAAGAACTGCATTCTAATATATACTGTAGAATTCTTCTTACTATGCCACCAACAACTGCAACTGAAACGGGTTAAAACCTATCTTAGATATACAATGGGACAATAATGGCTATCTTCTCTAATACTATTGCACATTCATGCTGATTTTGAAATTGATTTGAAAAGAAGTTGTTGACATATTTTATAATACCAAACAAAGAAAAATGTTGCTTGCTTAAATGAAACCAGTAAATTGTTGTTATTTGCAAATCACTTATCAGTTAACAAGTTAAAAACCAGATGCGTTGACCTCTAGACGTCTTTTATTATTTTTGTGTGTCGTTTGGTTGCTGTCTTATATATACACCACAATTTTGTTAATTCACATTGAAAAAAATTGGAGGATACCGATTTCAAAAATTCGTTTCACATCGCTTCATGATTATGTGCTTTACCCAAGATGAAGTCAGGAAGTCACTCTATCTTTATAATTTTGTCATTTTCGAAATTTGGTGTCAATGACAGATCTTTTATAGTCTCTGCAAATTGTATTCACAACTGTGTTGCTCTGGCCGGTTTAGAGCTTGATATATATTATTTAGACACTTGTCCATTGTTGGAGGACGTTTGTTAATATCGTTTGACGTTTTTTTTTTATCTATGTCGATAAAATGCTGTCTCGCTTGCGTGTAACCATTTCCTTTTATTCCCATTTATCGGTATGTCAAGCAAACTTGAATAATTGGATTGTTTTGAGTCCGCATGATTTGTTCTTCAGACTCCTTTTCCTCGTACTAATCAATCTTAAAAATGCATAACTATTGGTTTTATTTGTGCACCTTTTCTGTATTGACTTGTTCGTAATCAGCTGACTGCTTTGGTGTTGTCATAGCGGCCAAAAACCAGCAACGATCGGGCTTATGACTAAGCCAATGTATTATCTATTTCATAATATTATGTTACAGCCTACATATATTACAAAATTGTTTGCATCACTCTTTGAAGGTCATTTGTCTCCGTCGAGTTCTCTAGCATATTCAATAGGCAAATTATTAGAGCAGCATTATACTGGTTTATAAACAAATTGTCGTCACTGAATCAGTCCAACACTCATGTCCGTTTATCGAGGTATAACTGGACCCTGTCATTACATATAATTCTAAAGAAAATTAGACAGAACAGATAAATTTCCAACAACAAAATTCTTCTTTGTGTTTACTTAATTCTCTGAGCTTCAGGCTGGCTTTACCCCCTACCAGAGCTTTGCACACAGAACCTGGCTACGCCACTGAAGTGCCCGGTATATGGTTTAGCAACACCCAGCGCCTATGGGTTTAGTAACCACGTGTGTTAAACAATCAATATCCTAGAAGTATACTGAGCCAGGGATAACTTCTTATATAGATATAGGAAGATGTGGTATGATTGCCAATGAGACAACTCTCCATCCAAGTTAAAATTTATAAAAGTAAACCATTATAGGACAAGGTACGGCCTTCAACACGGAGCATTGGCTCACACCGAACAGCAAGCTATAAAGGGCCCCAAAAAATTACTAGTGTAAAACCATTCAAACGGAAAAACCAACGGTCTAATCTATATTAAAACGAGAAACGAGAAACACGTATGAACTACATAAACAGACGACAACTACTGTAATCAGATTCCTGACTTAGGACAGGTGCAAACATTTGCAGCGGGATTAAACGTTTTAATGGTACCAAACCTTCTCCCTTTTCTGAAACAATAGTATAACATCACAACATAGAAAAACACACTATAAAATATCAATTGAAAGGCTCAACTCAATCAAAAAACGTAAATTAACACATAATGAACAAATAAATTTGACCTGTGACACCTGAATGCAAATACACAGTTAATAAAAAATTACAAGGGACAAATAATTAAAGTCAAAAGTAAATAAACAGGTTTAAACAAAGTTAAAGTATGATATCACTGTTATATCTATTTACAGGCTAGTGATACAGTAGTTTCACTACTTAGACCATTCAGCCACCGAGGCCCCATTATGGCAGATCCAGGGGAGGGTTGATGGGGTTGGAACCCCCCTTTTTTTAACGATCAATGCATTTGAGGTCATATAGTTCTCTTACTTTAGATTGCCTTAACTAAATGGTATGGAAGTTATAATACACAATACTTATTACCACAAAACTCAGTTCAAGTACAAATTTGGGTAGCATCACTTTTACCATTCTTCATGATCAGTTATGTCCCTTTATGCCAATATGTTTTTTCAGTAAAAAACAAATCTATACAGTAGGGTCAAAGTAGAAACTGATGAGTATAATAGTACCAGGTAAAATATGGAATTTATGAATATTAGTCCAATAGTCCATGTAGAATATGGAAAATGAATAAAAAAAATTATATCTTGAAGTTACTCCTGAATTTCAAATGGCAATTGTTCATAAAACATGTAAACCATAATGCCAAAGAAGTATAAGACCTATGTCTTCTTTTTGTTTGTGACAATGCAAACATTCTGTAGCCAATGTCAATGAATTAAGACTGAGATGTAGGGTTAAATAATTTCCACGAAGACAAGAAATGCCAATGCTAATCATTCTTATACAATTTTATACCAAAACTACCATTCATTGAGTAAAATTTATAAGCGGTTCCCTCTAAACTGGATAAAGCACAAACTTGAACCTATATTAATTACATTTTTCTGATACTAACTTTTCATAGATTATGAACTATGATGAGGGAACAGTACAATGTAATTTCCATAGAAATGAGATGAGCAAATGCTTATAGCATGTATAGGATTGCATACCAATATATTTAACAGAAAAATTTTGATCTGATCTGGAAATTTGAGTGATAATACAAGAACGCAAATGTTTCTATTTCTATTCAATAACTGGTCGTCTCCTGTGTAACAACTTTTTATATGAAGAATCTGCAGATGGTTTGTTGCAAAGCAAATTTTATTGCCACCACCACCTATCTTTCGTCCATAGCTAGTTCCTCCCTTTCCAACAATTTTTACAAAATTTTTAGAAGCTACTTAAGTTATTTACATCTATTAACATTTTATATCATCTTGAATATGCATAAAACATTTGCCACATTACAGTAAACAAGCAATGTCTAAGCAGATGCATAGCTGAAGATATGGTATGGGTTTTGCTCATTGTTGAAAGCCATAGTAACATACCATTGCTTAAATCTGCAATATTTGGACTCTCAGGGATAGTTGTCTCATTGGCAATCATAGTACCACATCTTTTTTATTTATGACTATTGAACTGATCAAGTCTTCTACCTGTAAACTTTGATTAAATCTTCTGTGATGAATGACCTCTCCTTTATATCAATTTCAAAATTCATAACTGCTTCTCCTTATGTCAATCATTGGCTCTCTTCAAATATCCTTTCTATGCATTTAACCATGAAGATTCTTCATTTGATTCATTTACTAATAGAAATTTCCTGCAAAACATAAAAACATGTCAATTAGGATAAATAAATAGGCATATTATTTTTAGAATATTTGTACAAAACTGAGTAGTTTTGGTAGTATAATAAAAATCTGACCCTGCAATATTAATAATCAGTACAAAGAAAGATAACTCTGTTCATTTAATATGACAATATCAACGAGATGGCTCTAGGGAGTGTGTTGGTTTGTGCAAACTTGTCATATAAGCCTAAGGGCAATCACGATTTTGGCAAAATTTGACATATTTGTAGATCTTGTCTTGCTGATCATTTTTGCTATTAAAGTGGCTTTCTATCTATAATAGTTAAATGTAAAATATTATTGTTTTTCAGAAAAGGAAAACAAATGATAAAAGTCATCATTAAACAGTCAATAACTCTAATAATGAGTAGTTTTTAATTTCGTTAAAGTTTGACTTGTTTGTAGATATTGTCTTGTTGATCATTTTTGCAATTTGAAGTTTCTTTAAGCTGTAATGTTTCCAGGGGCGGATCCAGCAATTACATAAGGGGGGAGGGGGGTTCCAACCCAGGATAAAAAGGGGGAGGGGGTTTCCAACCATATGTCCCCATTCATTTACATTAAATGTAAAAAAAAAAGGGGGGTCCAATACATAATTACTTTTAATTTTTTGGCAATAACCGAGATATTCAAATATTGTTTGGCATAAATTCTTATAAAATGATTATTTAGACTTATCTGATTGAACCAATATTTTATAAATATGTGCTTTTGTGTTTCATAATAATCATTCATTTGAATCTTTTATTCTGAAATCATTCATTTTGACCATTCATACAAAATCATTAATGTAATACATTAATTTATATCAGTATATTAGAAGGCATGTGAGGTATTAATTATGGAACACTGACCTTATTTGAAAAAAAATCAAAGATGTCCACCAAATTTGAATAAAATTATATAAGGAACCACAGCTCCAATCACTTCAAAATATAAGTAAAGTCTGACTAAACAAAAGAATTTCCCTCCTAAATAGACACATGACTTAATGAACCAATTATCATAAAGGAGATAGAGTTTTCATAGCACAAACTAGTTAAACCTAGAGAGTAAACTAATACTCAATGGATCAAAATTCACTGAGCCATGAAGAAAGAAGTCTTACAATAAATAAAACCACTGATGCATGACTAGAAACTACTCATTAATTACTTAGAATTAAATTTACTAAAATCTGATGTAAAATATAAAAATATCAAAGTATGATACACAAAACAACAGTATCCAAATTAACATACTACATGTAGTTACCATGGTTACTTGTTTGATTAACATTCAGTGGCAATAACATTTAAATGGAGTACTTCTGAGTTTTCCCCCAAAAAAAACATACATTTTCTTTTGAATATTAAAAAAAATATCTGAAGATTTTGTTTTGGTGATTATTTTGTGAATCTTGTCCTCATGATCATTTCTGCTCTGAATTTGTTTATTGCCCCTGCCGCAGTTGAGGGGGCATTAAGTTTAACCCTTGTCTGTCTGTACGTACGTACGTCCCAAAATTGGTTTCGGTTTTTTAACTTTAGTTTGCCTCAACCAAATGTTATGAAACGTTGAACACAATGCTTATTACCACAAAACACAAGACAAGTTTGAATTTTGGTGGCATCACTTTTACCATTCAAGAGTTATGCCCCTTTACAAATGAAAAAAAATGCTGAATATTTTGTTACGTTCTCCCACTTCAGTTTGACTCAACCAAATGATATGAAACTTATACACAATGCTCATTACCACAAAACACAGATTGAGTTTGAGTTTTGGTGGCGTCACTTTTACCGTTCAAAAAGTTTTTTACAAATAGAAAAGTTGCTGAATTTTTTGTTTCCAACTTCAGTTTGTCTCAACTAAATGTTATGAAATGTATATACAATGCTTATTACCACAAAACTCAGTTTAAGTTCAAATTTTGGTAGCGTCACTTATACAGTTAGTGAGTTATGTCCCTTTATAACGTTATATGCTAGCGGGGACATCATCTGAGTCCCTATGGACACATTCCCCATTTATTTTATCTTTTATAGTTTTTGAATTAAAAGGAAAAACACTAAAATTGGTAAAAATCATCAATTAGGGGCAATTACTCCTTTACAGAGTTAACCAACAGTTTTGTCCTTGTCATATTTCTTGTCTTGCTGTGGCCAGGTGAGCTAAAGTAAGGAGTTGTTGTATAATTGCAAATGAGACACTTATACACAAAATACCAAATGATGTAGATGCTAGCTACTTTTGGTCATCATTCAATCTTCAACGATGATCCTTAAAGCCATAAAACTCTATAGCAAGCTATAAAAGGCAGTCATGAACCAATTTAAAAAATAAAATAAAATGAGAAAACCTATGTCTGATTTAGGCTAAAACTATAATATTAGAATTACAGCCATTCAATCACAGGCTCCTGACTTTGGACAAGAATTTAAAGAATGTGTTGGGTGGGGGAGGAGGTTTCATAGGACTTAATAATGTTCCCTATGAAATAATGTCTAACAAAAATTTTTTCATAATAAATATAAATACTGTCCATGGACAATATTTACTTATTTAAATGTGTCAAAGCCACAATTTTCCTATGAAAAATGGCGTTAAGTATGAAAAAGTGTCCATGAACATATATCACTGTATATAGCCATATTTAATCATGTTAATACTAAAATTTCTATGATTTTTTTTCATACGATTAAAGTATAATATAATAGCCATGTTATTACTAAACATATTTTAACCTATTATATATATATATATATTGCTTACTTTTAATACATTGTTTCTTTGACAGAGAGAAGTGTTGTCTCATTGGCTCTCATACCATCCTTATATTCTTGTTTACATTTTTATACGACCGCAAAAAATTTTTTGGGTTCGTATAATGCTATGATGTCGTCGTCTGCATCGTCATCCAAAGACATATTTGGTTTCCGGACAATAACTTGAATTTATGTGAATGGATCTCTATGAAATTTTTTAAGAAGGTTACTACAAAAGGATGGTTGGGATTTATTTTGGGGATGATGGTCCCAACCGCTTAGAAATTAGGGGCCCAAAACAAGCATTTTTCTAGTTTCAGGATACTTACTTGTGTAAAAGTATTTCGATTGGTCTGAAATTATACCACAATGTTTAATGCCACATTTTGGGGGTTATGGTGCCAACAGATTGGGAACTCAGGGCCAAAAAGGGTAAAAAAAAAAGCATTTTTGTAGTTTCTGGACAATAACTTGTGTGTAAGTGTATGGATCTCTCTGACATTGTACCACAAGGTTCCATATCCAGTCAGGGGACTTACTTAAATGAGTGATTTTCTAAATCACTGATTCAAATAACATTATGTCCATAAAGGTTGGAAGTAAGAGTTGTCTTTCTTTAATAATCACCTATTTAAGTAGTACAAATTAATCACTAGACTGAGTGATTTAATTTTATTGTAGCTTTAAATATAGAATAATAATGATCCAGGGACTAATTATGTTGCTAAAATTATCAGAACCAACATCTGTGTTGATAGGATGACCGGGTCATGTCAGGTGATGACCTTGTACTAAATCTAGGATAATGACATAAAAATCACTTGTTTAAGTATCATACCTCAATTTCCTTCTTAAATATCACTTCTTTAAGTATCATTATTTTAATAACCCCCACTAATTTCAACACCCCCAAACAGTGAAATTTTGATCGCAAACAGTAGAATTTTATTACATAATCTATAAGATGAAACCTTCAATTTTACAGGAAAAATACACCCACTGCTGGGAAAAATCTGTTAAGAAAGTATCAGTTCATTATGTAAAGCCATTTTTATAGCATTTTTTCAACAAAAATAGAATTTGCAGCTAAATGATTGCACCAAAGGCATAAACCTTGCTGCTTAAAAGAAGCAAAAAGTTCATTTTTTTCAATTTTACTAATGAAAAGATATTATCTAAACCTATGTGTTTAAAATTTTGGTAAAACTACAAAATCACAATTTGTGACAAAACTTCGAATTTGCTACTTAAATAAGTGATTTAAAAATCACTTATTTCAATAAGTCCCCTGACTGATATCAAGGGAAGGCTGAGATTGAGTTTGGGGGTAATTGCCACAAACATGCAGGAGTTGGGGGCAAACAAAGGACCAAAAACAAGAATTTTTCTAGTTCAATACCACAAAGGGAAGGTTGGGATTGATTTTGGGGGTAATGGTACCAAAGGTTTAGAAATTAAGGGCCCCAAATAAAAGGGTAAAAAACAAGCAATTTTGTAGTTTCCTGACCATAATTTGTGTGTAAGTCTATGGATATCTCTGAAAATGTACCACAAGGTTCCATATCACAATGGGAATACTGGGATTGGTTTTGGGTTATTGTACCAACGGTTTAAAAAAAATTGGGGACCAAAAAGGATAAAAAACAAGCAATTTTGTAGTTTCCGGACCATAACTTGTTTGTAAGTGTATGGATCTCTCTGAAATTGTACAACAAGGTTCCATATCACAATGGGAAGACTGGGTATGAGTTTGGGGGTAATTGTCCAAAATGTTCAGGAATGAGGGGCCAAAAAAGGGGCTAAAAACAAGCAATTTTGTAGTTTCTGGACAATACTTGTGTGTAAGTGTATGGATCTCTCTGAAATTGTACTACAAGGTTCCATATCTCAATGTGAAGACTGGGTAAGAGGTTGGGGGGTAATTGGCCCAAAAGTTCAGGAATTAGGGGCCAATAAAGGGGCAAAAAAATAGCATTTTTCTTGTTTCCAGATAATAACTTGTGTTTAAGTGTATGGATCTCTCTGAAATTGTACTGCAAGGTACCATACCTCTAAGAGAAGGCTGGGATTGAGTTTGGGGGTAATTACTTCAAGGGGGGTCAAAATAATTGGGGAGGGGTGGTCATAAATTTTATGTTTTTTTTTTTTAATTTTCCATTTTTCAATCAATTATATTAGATATATGTAAAAGCAAAACATATTGATATGACAGGAGAAACACA